TGCATACTGTACATCTCCATGCATACATGCATGAAGATTAGCCTAAAAACCTTTAGTCTAGCTGCAGGACTCGGTAACCCCCCTCTCTGTAACCCCCCCCCCTCTACTTGTTGTAGTGGTGAGTGTCGTAAGGGCTTGTAGCTAATCCGCTAAAGAACCGCGGAGAGGTTCACATATGAATTCTGGGTTATCCCCCTCTTGCTTTGCATACTTCTTAATCTGTTAATGAGGCGTCTCTCCTAGAACACGGGTTGTCCCGAGATCTTCATTTTTGATGCTGGGTGAACCTTCTTGGAGAAAAATCTCAGCAAAATTGAATTTATATTAAATGTTCGTGTAACGTTTGATATACCAATTTAAAGCAATAGATTCAACGTTGGTCTCATATTGACATTGAGGCCTGGAAAACACTATAAATCTGACAGAGTGATACATGTTCCGAACCGCGATTAAATGTTATATATAAACTCGTTGATTCGCACACTCGCAGTTCTATCATATACTCACTCGAGTATAACGTATAAACGATGAACAGAATGCCCCATTACAATATCATGTTATAATGTAATTTAATATAACATAATATAATATGCTAAGGGTTGATGTGGAAAGGCACTCCACCTCGATGGGAATCGAACCCACAACCTCCCGATTACATATAGTTCCCTGATACTATATATCATCAAAGGTTTCGTTGTTGTTTATGCTTGCTCTTCTTGTAAATGATGTCCCTTGTGTCAGATTTCTATATCATATTGGGAGACGAAAATCTAAAATGACATCTTCAACCGTCAATGGACAACCGTATTGATTTAGTGCTATATCCAATAAACGTAATTACATTGAGTACGACGGGCCTTTGTGGCACTCTCCTAATCAAATCCCAGTTTCGTTAATCAAATTTGATAGATTTTTGAACACCGTTCATCAAGGGAAATTTTTCTATCTTGCTTAAAGTTGCTTATATATTGACATATCGAAGGCAATAAGAGGTTTACACGACGCGCATGTTATTCCCTGGAGACAAAGTCAATAGATATTACTATACGTAAAATTGTTACGTTCGGTGTTGAACTGCATTCTCAGGGGATCAGCAATTCACAATCTTTAGGCCATTGGAAGTTAATCCTCTGTTAAACGATGTCTGCCTGCCTATAGGCCAAACCTTTTTCTTTATCTCATTTTAAGAATTTTTACTTTTTCCTTTCCTTTTCAAGATGCTTCCCGCAGGCAATGTATTTAGCAAAATTAAAAAAATCATTTATACACCTGGACATGTACAGTGCATGGTGATCATAAAGAATATCTGCAATTTTCGAGTAAAAAGAAATGTACAGTCCTGCTAAATAGAGAATTAGTCGATAAACCTGAAGTTGAGTTAATTGGGTTGGTTTTTTAAAAACGTTTATTTTTGTTTTCGCTATTTAGTGTTACTTAAAAATGAATACAACTACAACAAAATGTAATAAAATACATATTATTATGACCCCATGCAGTAACGTTTTATCAAATGCTGAAGGCTTGCTCGGAACTCGGCTGTTCTCATTTGTTTCTCAATAATATTGATAAGATGTCTATAACTAAGGCTGCAAACGTGTCCGTTTCATTATCATATATCACATGTTATTTACATATTATCAAGCATTGTCAAAAAAATATTCATACAACAGTATTGTTGGACATGATAATGCGATTTCTAAATTGTTACGTTTTTATTAAAAAGTAACGATATAATTTCAAGAAAGACGAGTGCATCCACTCTATCATCCTCCGGTCACAGGGCTTCAAAATCCAGAAAATATTCTAGGTACGGATTCTGGACACCTACTTAGGAGGATGCCAGTATATTAACAGTTTTCTTTTACTAAATTTTTAAGCAGTTTGAGTGTTGTTGACTTTTATTTTTAATCAGTGTAATTAAAATTCATTAATTCTCAGTTTTGAAGAAATTATTTCAAGACAACGACGGGTTTGAAGGTTACTTAAAGAAATCAACGCGACGTCCTTATTAATATAAGGGTTTATAAGGGACATTTACAATGTCCTAAAATAAAACTGATATATTTTTACTGTTTTAATCAACTTGTGGGTTGTAAGACCACACAACGCTCGTTAAAGTGATGAGAATTCCCACGGAAGGTTTACACTTTATTGTCTCTTTGTTGCAGTCGTTCTTGATTGGAAGATTAAAACGAACATTTACAATACTTTACTGGCAGGCAATTCATTACCTTTAATTAAAGAACGTGTATTTAATCAAAGACCAAACATCCATGCTTTTATTTACTCTCGGGAATTCGAAAAAAGCGATAATCAACCAAACACGTAACATAATTCTAATTTGAAGTATTTTGATTAGAAAATTCCATTCATATTTTTATGAGACATTAATTTCCGATATCTTGGCAGGGAATCGCTATTTTACAAGTAACGTGTGTTTGATTAAGAGCGTTTACATTATTTTGCCCAGGGGTGTATATCTATAAGTAGTACCAGGTCGCAGAATCGTGTTTTAAAGGTAAACCTTGTTTACAGGGTGACCCAAAAGTTGATAATCCTATTTTAGACTGATTTTCTCAGTTTTGATTGTTTTTTCGAGAGTTGTATTGTCTATAGAGGTATTCCATGTTGAACGCGTGTAATAGTCCCCATATTTGTCAAATGACTTTGAAAAATCACGTTTTTGTGTTAGCCTGCTCTCGCACGAATCGTTCAACAATACATATTCATAAATATGAGTTCTTTGCCATTATTTGAGTGATTTCTGGATTGCTTACATACATGTTATCAATGGTATATCCGTTTTTAATATCTTTAAATGAAAATTCCATTTGGCTTAATGACATAATTATTACTGAATAGGGACGTAGCCAGCTTTCAGTCAGGGGGGGGGGTGCGATCGCCCAAAAAATTCGGGTTTTAGTCGGGAGGGGGTGCGATTGTGTGTGTAGGGGGTGCCCATCCCCATCCCCCTGGCTACGCCTATGCTGTAACTGACAGATTTCTGAACTTAAAGTTTGGACTAATTGCCGATAGACGAAAAACTTTAATTTTTAAAATTCTAACCGTTCTTTGGAACACTATCCTATCACGAATTATGATATCCACAAAATAAGAGTAGAGAAAAATTCAATCAAAAGTGAGGAATAAGTGGATTGCTTTTCTATCACCCTGTATATTATATTCACGACTATTGGTATTCACCTACAGCAACTTGCGCCCTTGATGGCTACAGTCGTTTCAGGAGAAATAGTATAATGGTACGATGGTTAAGCTACGCGTTTTATACGCCAACTTGTACGTGAACGTGTAGAATCATGGGCGTCTCCATAGGGGTAGTCGAGTTGACCGGGCGAGAGCACTGAACACGCTAAGATAGGCGCTGTCGCCGTAACCACGAGGTCGTGAGTTCAAGACGCATATAATCCTTGCGTTCATCAATACCCTCTCATAGTAATTGTTTGCCCTCTTGGGTATCAAGGTATTATTGTCAATATGAATGTAACTCTCTTTTATCTAAGAGGTAAATAAATTATACATACATACATTAGACCACTTTGGCTTATCTCGAAGTCTTACCCAATGCTATAAATGTAATAAGTGAAACTTTTTTATTAATCTCAAAAAATGTTTTCGAAGGTCGTTTTGTTCCTAATATCGTTAATTTTAAATATCTTTTAACAAGCGGCACTTCACATCAATGCATAGCATTCATCATCTTGTGTTTTAAAGAAATAGGAAATAAGCGAGAAAACAAACGAGAAATGAAAAATTGTAGTTCTCATAGAAACCAATGGTACCGGTACAGTAATATTTGAAACATAATATATTCTTCTTTTCAAGCTAGTTAGAAATCAACGTTGGTTTATTTTTGAAGTTTTGCATATTTAGAAATAATAAAAAATTCAAAAATTCAAGAATTTCAACTTTTTTCAAAAAACAGTTTCTTCAAAAATCTCTAAATTAGTTTTTTTAAAGTCACAAAAATAGTAAATTGATGATAAAAACGTGTTTTCAAACTCTGTATGGGGCCTTTAAAAACTTGACGCTTAACCTCCATAACATTGATCCATCATCTAGAATTCGTCGTACTGTGAGCTTCCCGGTAGTATAATATCAATAGGAGCCTCGTCGAGTCAATGATAGGACGTGTAAAAATGTATAAGCTTGGGTCAGGAGATTACCCGCGTACACAGTAACAGTGGATTGGTATTTCTATGAGTACGGATGGAATTTCAAAAACGATACAAAAAAATCAAGTGATGAATCACAAAAGCCATTTCTCATAACAATCAGTATTAGCTCTTCATTCGCTTCGCTCGCACGTTTTTCGCTAGTTCCGTCTTGATAAAAGTGAAGTCGCTCAAAATCCTACATAAAACACACACGTACTTTAATTGCCTTCATCATTTTAATACTGATTTTTATTTCCTTTTTTCAGGTCAACCTTGTCGTTAAGGCCAACCTACAAAAGTGTGACGGTCTAAACACAAAAGAACTGGACAAACATGAATTTATCTATAGTGTTCATCTATCATAAACCACAAATATTGTCACAAACACAGACCAACAGCACTGTTCCACAACTAATTACTTTGACGGAACGTCAATGTAACAAAATGGATGAACTTCCTGGTTACGAGTTTTTTGTTTTCTTGATTTAAACCTACATGTACTACCTACTCAAGTTGCAGATTATAATTTGGCACACAGCTAGACAATATAGTCTAGTTTTAATAAGTTTCTTCGATTTGGAATTTATTTTGTAAATGAAGTTGCAATTCATATATTTAGCCCCTCGCTTTTGTTACATTGACGAAATTCCGTTATTTTACCATGTATATTACTTTGACTACTTACGTCAATGTAACAAACGCGATGGTCTACATACATGCATTACAGCTTTATTTACAAATCAAATTCCAAATCGAGAGTATTTCTAAAAGCTAGACGATATTGTCTTACTGTGTGCCAAATGATAATCCGCAACATGACGTTTACGTAAGTTTAGATCGAAAAAACAAAAAACTCATATTCAGGAAGTTCATCCATTTTGTTACATTGACTTTCCGTCAAAGTAACTTGTTGTGGAACAGTGAACAGCTTCACTGAACACAATATTGTATTTAGGAGGAATACGATGGATGCATTTCATACATAAAAACAGCCATTCGATTAATTAATAAGACACTCAATAATTCAAATATGTCCGAGAGGTTTCAATATATTAACCTGGCATAAAATGACCTGACGCTGCAGATGTATTTGACCACGTAGATGTACACAGGACTGTAGGAATATGATATTGCATACAGTCTGATTGACTACAAGATACTTTTTTCTAATACCTTTCAACCAGCGGATAAAAAAGCAAAGAGGCTGAAATGCGTACTCTATCTAGTAACTATTGAACGATAAATCGCCACTCTGAAGAAATATACGATAGTCAATTACTCAAGTCTTTCGACCAGCCGACTGATGAAAAATCAAAGAAACTAAATTTGAGGAATTGAACCCTTATTGAGGCGCACAGAATAAAATATTGCCTTGGCGTTTAACTAAATGGATTGTAAAGTAATGCTATGGGACATGCCTTTATGGAGCAATCACGCATACATATTATTTTCATGGAGTCGGAGGCTTATAAGATAGTGTGAGCCAGATCGGACAAAAATTGTAAATTATGATTAAATGGTTTGAAGGATGACACACTGTCCCAACGGTGTGTTCTACTGTTCCGTAGGATTGGGATTCTAAAATAAATCGCTTGGATTAACTGATATACTAAATACAGCATCCGTATTTCTTACCTAATGCTCATGATGCTTCGTTGCAAATGTCACCCCGCTTCATCTAAAGCGCAAATATTGATCGCCGCCATTTTCATAATGTCTGTATTTACGTTCTGGACATCACTATTACCGTATGAAGCAGCATCATGCGATCTTAACAACCCTCGAGTCGTTCACGTAAAAGCCGGGTGCTTGTGTAATAACGAAAAACGGGGACAACCCCCTACAGTAAAAGAACCACCTTATCAGTTCATGGAAGATACTCGCAGGCTCCAAGACACTTTAACTGATACATTAGAATTTACCAAGAGACTTGAAGCAGAATTAAATAAGATAAAAAGCTCACTTGGGACGTTCATAAAGAGAAGTCGTAGCGGTGAAGTTATAATGGGAATACAGAATTCGATGGGCAAATTACAAGGGCTCCAGGATTTAATGAAAGAAAAATATCAGATAATACAACAATCAAATTCATACAAACACAGACTAGGTGGAAAAGAATTGGTGCCATCTGAAAAAGAGTTGGTACAGCCTGAAAAAGAATTGGTACCGACAGAAAAAGAGTTGGTACAACCTGGAAAAAGGTACCTTGTGTGTCCAGAAATGTTTAATGGAACGACATTCGGGTATCCATTTTTCTATGAAGGTTTTGTAGACCTGCCTTGTTACCACCCACCACTTTCAAGCTTGATCACTATCCTAATAAACATGGCAGATTACTCCCATCAAAATCATAAATCAATATCTGCAATTTTCAGAGGAGTATCAAAACATTTCAATGAAGTCCAATTGATAATTGGTCACCGTGCTGGACAAAATATAAAAAATGTCAAAATACATCATGGAGTCAATGTTAGTTTTTCAGAATTTTCTACAGAGGCAAATCCTGGCTTTATTTGGAATGAGCTCATTGGCCAAGTGAAGACACAATTTGTTTTGATTGGTCGTGATTTGCAAATGCTTACATGGGACATACGCCTTGATAGGCTGATTCGAGAGTCGGAACTTATGGACACGCCTATTGTGGGAGGAGCTATAAGGACAAACGATGGCCATTGGTCAATAGGATGTCAGCAATTTCGTTTTAGAAATTACACATTGGTTTATAAAAGCGGATATGATCTCTCAAATCACGAATGTGTCTTTTGCGATCACCTACAGGGGCCATTCTTAGCCAAAACCAGATTCATGACGTTATATCCGTTTAGTACAAGTTTGCCAAGAGAGGTTTTATTTGAGTCATTTTTTCTAAATGTCAATCAACATTTAAAAAAACAATTCCCTTTGTGTCCAGACAGTATGTTTCACGTTGAAACCACGCCTATTCCTGAGAGAGATATTTGGATCCCTTTTGCCAAACGTTGGAATGTATATCGTTTGCGTTTGTCATCCGGCCAACTGTATGAGTTTGATTGCAAGGAGAGTAAAACTGGATTTGACAGAGGAGATGGTATGGCCCAATCTCCATGCAGACTACAAGAGCTAGCTGATCTCATTAAAGCAGTTATGAGTTTGTGTGAAAAAAATAACATTTTATGCGAACTTCAGGAAGGCACTGCCTTAGGCGCCGTGAAGTTCAACAAAGTCTTACCATGGGAATTAGACGCTGATGTCACATTCCATTCCTCAAACTTTTCGAAATTTGAAGCTCTTGCGAGTTCATTTCAGAAACTCGGGTATGGCTTGTCAGTTATTAAGAAACCTTGGTGTTGTGTCGACGGTGTCATAGCCGGAGGAATATTTAACGTTTACTCACAAAACTGGAATGTTGAAATGTACGGTCAACATTTAATGGATTCCGAAAAAATGATCCTTAAAGGGTTATCCCCAACACAAGTGCACTTTGATGGTCAATGGGTTAATGTACCAACAAACCCCGGATTATTTGTAAGGAACCGTTATGGAAAGGAGGTGTACCAACATGCCCAACATTGGATGACCTTAGGGCACTCAACAGGATGGACCCCATATATACCTTCCAAGTTTAAAACCTGCTCAAAACCAGGAGACATGGCCTGCTTAGATCAGTTCTTAGCAGACGGCAATCTACAATTTGAGGAACCACTCATTTAGAGTCGTTCTTGGTGACTCCCTATCCTGTACAGTCCCCTCTATAAGTTTCATTTGTAATTTAGTCCCTCGGGTAGGGATTAATACAGATGAAATTTTAAACATGTTTCTATATTTTTGAGGGGAGGGTACACAGGTACATAAAGCATCACTCACTGCCATGACCAATTTTAATTGTATATGACGTGCAAGGACCTGGGGACAATTCGGGAAATGCGGGCTGATCTCAGCATTGAGCGTTAATCTCTACCTCATTTAAAAAGCTAACTATGTGTTTTATATACCTTTTTGAAGTATTTTTTATTTGCATTTCAGTGAAATTATTTTTCCTTCAAAATTTTGATGGGATCCTACATATTTTTAAAGTTAAATATACCCCGACATCGTCAAATACGCTGTAAGACGTAACACTATGCGCTTACGGGGCTCGTTGAAATTGGGATAACTTTTGAAATAATGATCAAAATCGCACTAAAATTTCACATTTTATTCAATCGAACATGTGCATTTATGACGTCACAATTGCTTGACGGCTACAGTTCAAATTATCTTAAAACGAACGCTTTTAAAAATCTAAAAATTGTGTAAGGTTTTGAAGGCGAATGGGACGAGCAATAAGTTTACCTTCATTTAACCTTCTAATTTAGGTCTGATTTGAAAGAAAAATTAACTGCACAATATTGTCATGGCGAAATTAACAAAACAATAACCAGTTTGTCTATTTTTCAAATAATATTAAAATAAGAGCTGGTTTTCGAGACTTGAAAAAAATGTGACGCATCGATTTTGTACCACAAATTCCATACATATCAATATTTACTAACGCCCCAAATGGATTTAGAAATATTGTCCTCGAGATCTTGCTACCCTGTGAATTTTGTAAAGATTAGATAACGATAAAGTATTTTATTTTTAGGTTGAGTAAACTTGTAAAAAATGTGACGCTTGTCGTTTTTGACGTTGTAAGGCTGTTTGCGCCCTATACTGCTCATTGTTTTGTTTTGTTTTTTTGACGCCATAATGTTACGCTAATTGTCCCCAGTTTCGTGCGACGTGTAGTAGCCATTTTGAGTTTTTGATTTGAACTATATCGAGCCTCGTTCGATTGATAACTGAAACGTATCAGTACATACTCTGTAAAGATCACAATTCTAATCTCAAGCTGCTCATTTTTAATCCATAGTGATATTTTTTATTTATTAATAATTTTATTGTTTTTTGATCTAAGTCATTACGACATTGTAGCTGATTTATTTTGAAGTTTTGTTACCATGTTGATACAGTAACTTTTCATTCAATATGATCAATACAAAGATTTTTATGTAACTATCAGCTAGAAAAAAAACAATTATTTAAATGAGAATCGGAGACAGAAGCAACTCTGTCAAAACAGTGTCTTAATTTCTATCATCTCAAAATCCAAAAGGTTCATATATTTTAATAAATTTAGAATTCAATCAGGAGTGAACAATATTGACACAGTAAGATTTTCTATCTCCGATTCTCGCTATATAAATTGGCTTTTTGAGTAGGTTTGCTCTCAAGTATAGAGACAGACTGATGTCACTTCTCTTGAATCAGCTGATTATACATTTTATATATTTCTTTTACTAATATTTTACAAATAAATGATACATAATAGGAAACACGTAAATGACTACAAGTAGAATGATTGTTGAAAATGGAAATGTATAACTTTGGGAAAAAATGTACTCATGTTTAAAAGCGGAACAATAATGAAAAGACGAATATATAATTGGGGGAAGACATGTATATGTTTAAAACCAGAATAATTGTTGAAAGAGGAAATGTAGAATAGGGGAAAAATATGTAAATGTTTAAAAACAGAATAATGGTTGAAATGGAAATGTATGATATTGGGAAAAACATTTAAACGTTTAAAAGCAGAATAATGGTTGAAAGGGGAAATGTATGATATTGGGAAAGATATGTAAATGTCTAAAAACAGAATAATGGTTGAAAGGGGAATGCATGATATTGGGAAAAAAACATTTAAATGTTTAAAAGCAGAATAATGGTTGAAAGGGGAAATGTATAATATTGGGAAAAAAACATTTAAATGTTTAAAAGCAGAATAATGGTTGAGAGGGGAAATGTATGATATTGGGAAAAAAACATTTAAATGTTTAAAAGCAGAATAATGGTTGAAAGGGGAAATGTATAATATTGGGAAAAAAACATTTAAATGTTTAAAAGCAGAATAATGGTTGAAAGGGGAAATGTATAATATTGGGAAAAACTATACACAAGGTTGTCTGTGATATCTTCTAACTTATAAACTGTACAAATATGACAATAGCATAAAATGGTTTAATATTGGTTTGTAAATTATTATTGCAAGTCATATTATTAATGTTGTAGTTTCATCAGTTTATTTGAATGCATTGAGGTATAGATAGGGGCTTAACATTTTTAATAATTTTCCCAATTTTATTATTGCTATTGACCCCTATTGCTTTACTATTGATTTTCTAACTGTAAAACGAGAACTTTTTGTATGAGAGCTTTATTCAATGTAAGTGCAAATTTTCATATTAAATCGTCTGGAAATTAAATGAACCCTAAATGAATAGCAATAAATTAGCATTTGTTAAAAGTCGGGAAATATAGAGTAAGATTATATCTTTACATCTTTTCTCCACGATTTATTTATCACATTCCCCTTCAAAAAATAAAATCATCTACGAAAATCGCAAAAATTTGTTCAAACAAAAAATTCTTCTCTTACAGTAATCCTATAATATAATATAATATAATATAATATGATATAATATAATGTAATATAATACATACTTGGTATTTGTAAAATAAATATTTTCATTTCCTATACACAGGGGGTAAAAATGCGTAGAGTATTTTATTGAGTAAAACGACAGGAAATACAATTACTATAAAACGGACACTTTATTTAGAAAATGGACTGGTGTACTTTTAATTTGAAAACGTTTTTAGTACTTCCGCATTTGCCAAGTGCTGCTCATCATGTTTCCAATACATCGGTGAAGCATTCAATTTTTACAAATTGACAACCTGATCTTAAGTCTTTTAATAATGTAGGGCTACAACCACAGATTCACATTCTAGAAAAACTAGAAGGATGGTTGTCAATTTATTGCAACTGAATGGCCTGATCCCCTGGGGGACTGGGGACGCCATGGGTAAGGAAACACTACAAAACGTTCATAGACTACCCAATAAAACTACACCTACCTGTTTTTCAAACCAAAAAAGATTTAAACTTTAGCGAAACTTTTATCATTTTTTTTTATAAAACCTTCCATTGACATTACATTGGAGTTGGCACTAAAATAAGTAAATAAAAATGTCCGGACCAAGCTCAAATATTTGCAAATAGACCCCTGCAAAAAACAAATGAGGGGTTAAAATTGACATATAGCCATGTTTATAGAAGACATCCAAGCCAATACCTGGTGAGATACCCGTTTGAGATGTTTAAGTTGTCCAATAAAAGATAAACTTCTCATCAATCCATTGAAAATACGAAGTTCTAAAATTAGTCTTTATTTTGTCACAGAATGCTAAAACTACGTATAAGGTCCCTTTAAACAAATATAAGCGCAGAGGTTTTAAATTTGATTTAGCTTTCGTAATTCTTAAGACAGATTATAAATTTTTCAGGACAACCTTGTAATTAGAGCCAACTCAGTGGAGTGTGACATTGTATAATAACTGGACACATGTAAGTGTATTTTTTATAATAATTATCATTTATAAGCAACAAATAATGCCAGAAACCCGGGGCATACAATTGACTTCATTGAACACAGTATGCCTATTGTAATTAGATAAGATGCGTTTCATGCATAAACGCAGCCTTTCAATTAATAAGAGACTCGACATTTCAAATGTATCCGAAAGGTTTCAATATATTAACTTGACACAAAATAACCTGACGCTGTTCATTGATGTATTTGACCACGTACTATGTGCGTACAGGGCTGTAGAATATGGTCTTGCATACAGTCTGATTTGCTGCATTATATGGAGCATTATTTTCTTTAATATCTTCAACCAGCAGAAACAGGAACTAATCTTTCGACCAGCTAAATCAGAAGCAAGGGAGCTAAAATGTGTTCCATATCTAGGAACTGTTTAACAATAAATCGTTAATTTGAAAAAATATATGATAGACTATTATTTAATTCTTTCGACCAGCCGTGTGACTAAAAAAGTCAGGGAACTATTGTATAACTTTAATTACAACAACCGAAGGAAAATTCAAAGAAAAATTGCACTGGCGTTAACTAAATGGATGGGAAGCAATAGGAGCGATCGTGCATTCATGGGATTGGAGACTCGTACATGTACGACATCGTACAAGGATTGAAGATAATGATCAACTTGTTTCAAGGATGTCAGCGGACCCTATTTTGTTCTACCGCTTGGATTAACTGATATCGTAAATACAGAATCCGTATTTCCTTCTTGATCCTCGCGATGCTCCGTGGCAAAATCCATCGCGCCTCATCTATTGAAATATTGATCGTCGTCATCTTCATAATGCCTGTATTTATGTTCTGGACATCTCTGATGCAGTATGAAGCAAAATCGTGCGACCTTTACAACCCTCAAGTTATTCATGTGAAAGAGTACCCGCGTACAGTTAAAAAAACATATTCCAAGCTCGTAGATGATGCTCGCAGACTCCAAGACACGTTAACTAGTACATTAGAATTTACCGAGAAAATTGAAGCAGAATTGAATAAGATAAGAAGCTCATTAGGGACACTTGTAAAGAGAAGCCGTAGCGGCGAAGTTATAATGGGAATACAGAGTTCGATAGGCAAATTACAAGAGCTACAGAATTTAATGAAAGAAAAATATCAGATCGCACAACCGTCCAATTCATACGAACACATACTGGGTCGAAAAGAATTCGTGCCAACTGATAAAGAGTTGGTGCAATCTGGAAGAAAGTACCTCGTGTGTCCAGAAAAGTTTAATGGATCGAAATTCGGGTATCCATTCTTCTACAAAGGTTTTGTAGATCTACCTTGTGACCACCCTCCTCTCTCTAGTTTGATCACCATCCTGATTAATATGGCAGATTACTCCCATAAAAATCATAAATCAATATCTGCAATTTTCAGAGGAGTATCAAAACATTTTAATGAAGTCCAATTGATAATTGGTTACCGTATTGGACAATATATTAGAACTATCAAAACACATGGAGTCAATGTCCGTTTTTCAGAATTTTCCACAAAGGCAAATCCTGGATTTATTTGGAATAAGCTCATTGGTCAAGTGATGACACAATTTGTTTTAATTGGTCGTAATTTGCAAATGCTTACATGGGACATACGCATTGATAGGCTAATTCGAGAGTCAGAACTCATGGACACGCCTATTGTGGGAGGAGCTATACGGACAAACGATGGCCATTGGTCAATGGGATGTCAGCAATTTCGTTTAAGAAACTACACATTGGTTTATAAAAGTGGGTATGATCTCTCAAATCATGAATGTGTGTTTTGCGATCACCTACAGGGGCCATTCTTAGCCAAAACCAGATTCATGACGTCATATCCGTTTAGTAGAACTTTACCAAAAGAGGTGTTATTTGAGTCATTTTTTCTAAATCTCAATCAACATTTGAAAAAACAATTCCCTTTGTGTCCAGACAGTATGTTTCACGTTGAAACCACGCCTATTCCTGAAAGAGATATTTGGATTCCTCTTGCGAAACGTTGGAATTTATATCGTCTGCGTTTGTCATCCGGGCAACTGTATGGGTTTGATTGCAAGAAGAGCAAAACTAGGTTTAACAGAGAAGCTGGTATGGCCCAACCTCCATGCAGACTACAAGAGCTAACTGATTTCATTAAAGCAGTTATGAGTTTGTGTGAAAAAAATAACATTTTATGCGAACTTCAGGAAGGCACTGCCTTAGGCGCCGTGAAGTTCAACAAAGTCTTACCATGGGAATTAGACGCTGATATCACATTCCATTCCTCAAACTTTTCTAAATTTGAATCTCTGGCGAGTTCATTCCGGCAACTTGGGTACAAGTTAGTAGTGAAGAGCCGACCTTGGTGTTGTGTCGACGGCGTTATAGCCGGTGGAATATTTAATGTTTTCTCACAAAACTGGAAAGTTGAAATGTACGGTCAACATTTAATGGATTCCGAAAAAATGATCCACAGAGGGTTAACCCCAACACAAGTGCACTTTGATGGTCAATGGGTTAATGTACCAACAAACCCCGGATTATTTGTAAGGAACCGTTATGGAAAGGAGGTGTACCAACATGCCCAACATTGGATGACCTTAGGGCACTCAACAGGATGGACCCCTTATGTACCTTCCAAGTTTAAAACCTGCTCAAAACCAGGAGATATGGCCTGCTTAGATCAGTACTTAGCAGACGGAAATCTACAATTTGAAGAACCACTTATTTAGAGAGTCGTGCTTGTCTCTAAAAGCAAAAGATACGTGTGTTTATGACTCCCTATTCTATACGCTCCCCTCTATAAGTGTGTTAACAGGAAAGCTTGTTAAAGCCTATTTATATTTCATTTGTTTTAGTTCCTCATGTGGGGAAATCAATACAAAGATGAAATTTTAAGACATGTATTCGACTTTGTCTCGTGCAGAATACAGAATTTCTCCAGCACAATGTTTTCTGTATTTCACTTCAAATCATTCAATAACTTAGTGTAGAAGGCTTTTATGTTCGTATTTCGGGTATCCCAAAAATGAGACGCATATTTTCTCGGTAACTGATTAGCCAAATTCATTGAAAATTCGTACAAAGTAGCCTAAGAGTATCAGTAAAAAGTTGTAAAAGTATAAAAAAGATCAAATAAATATTCTCTGAGAACTAAGAAATTCAAAATAGCATGTCAAAAATTCCCATACCAGAGCTCTGCGATGAGACCTCTATAGTGTTTTAACAACTATCAGGTGATAACATCTGTCAGTCAGTCAAAATAGCTTGTCTGTGTGTCCTGTCTAATTAATCTGTTTAATTGTTACCAAATAGCCAAAATTCATTCATTCTCAAAATTAATTGGAGGTGATATTTCAAGAATAGATACTGAAAAGTATTTTTGCTTGGAAATGGATTAAAAAGTGACTCTTTCATTGATATTATGGTTATTTTGAAATAATTTAATTAAAGTCTTTAATTCAAAAATACACACATGACATGAAACTAATCTCTTACCATATTCATAGCACTGGCAGAAAATACCCCTGTGCCTCAAGTAAAGTTTTCAAAGAATTTGCCTTATCTATTGCTCAGATATTACTTGTCAATTTGCTTCCAACTTTTCGGTACAAACGTTATTAAGTTCTCATTGCGTTGCTCCGGTATGGTATATTTTGACATGCCAACTTGAATTTCTTAGTAGTCACATAACATTTATCTGATCTTTTTCCTATTTTTATCGCACCCTCAGGTGCTATATTGTAATCAGTTTGCCGGGCGGGCGGGCGGGTGGTTGGGCGGGCGTCCCGAATAATCAGCCAAACCGTTATTTGAGGGATTCATTTGAAATTCTCAGGGATGTTTCTACTTATGAAAGTTTAGAACTGATTAGTTTTTCATGAAATTCTCAGGGATGTTTCTACCTATGAAAGTTTAGAACTGATTAGTTTTTCGGCATTCTGGGTAAATGTTAAGGCGGCCATTTTGGATTTTCCGTCCCAAAATCTTGTCTGTCAAGGCTTGTCTACAGGTTTCTAGCCAAACCGTTTGAGGGATTCATTTGAAATTGTCAGGGATGTTTCTACCTATGAAAGTTTAGAACTGATTAGTTTTTCGACATTCTGGATAAATGTTAAGACGGCCATTTTGGATTTTCCGTCCTAAAATCTTGTCTGTCACGGCTTGTCTACAGGTTTCCAGCCAAACCGTTTGAGGGATTCATTTGAAATTCTCAGGGATGTTTCTACCTATAAAAGTTTAGAACTGATTAGTTTTTCGGCATTCTTGGTAAATGTTAAGGCGGCCATTTTGGATTTTTCGTCCTAAAATCGTGTCTGTGAAGGCTTGCTTTTAAAAAATAAAAAAGAATTTCCCATTGAGAGCAATGTTGAATTAAAACATTTTTTAGAAATAACTAAACGGTCAATCTTTCCAATTTTCACATATTTTGTAATACATCAGTATATCTTTTACCATGATTTTTTCAGGAAAATCTGAATTGTAGAAAAAAAGCTGATACACTGTGAAGTAATACCTTAAAACGTGTCTCTTGAGGGTTGTTTACAGGTTTCATGGATTCATCCTAAAATTTTAGAGATGTTTCTATGGAAAGTTTAGAACTGATTAGTTTTAGGCAGTCTGGGTAAATGTTAAGGTGGCCATTTTGAATTTTCCATCCAGAAAAGTGTATTCTGTTCAAGGGTGCGATTCTGTTCACCGTGTGGCTTATTATACCTTGCTAACGATACTCTTGGGCTAATTTGTATGACTTTTCCGTAAATTATCGGTTGCCGAGAGAAAACTTGCCAAAAAGTGTCTCATTTTTTGGGAAACCCGTTATGTACACAATATTTAAGTTGTTATTGACCACTTTTGCTTAACTATTGATTTTACTAATGTAAAACGAGAATTATTTGTATCAGAGATAAATTCACGTAAGCATAAACGTTCATATTAAATCGGCAAGAAATCAAATGCACCTTAAATGAAAAACAACAAACAAGTGAAAATAAGCGTCTGTGAAGTGGGTTGATATACATGTAGAGCAAGATTCTATTTTTACATCTGCTACCCACGATTTATCGCAATGAAAATCTGTTCACACAAAAATCCTTGTTTTACAGTTATTCTCTACTAAACATATATAGGAAAATAAAAATATAATATAAATATAAATAAATGAGTTTATTTGTAAAATAAATATAATATATACACTAATACAGATCAATTGATTTTTCATGCAATTATAATGGAATTCATAAAGTTTACAATATATAATAAAATAAAAAAAGTAAAAATAAAATAAAAAGGATGACTGGATTTATTTTGGGAAATGGGTCTCTATATGGTATCACAAACTGATGTAATAAGAAAGTCCACGAGTACCATAATTGATGCGAGGTATAAGCAAAAATATAAGAATGTCATCATAACATAAAGGAAGGTTAGGAATTTTTGGAGAAGTTTACAGGCAAGCCTGTTTGGCTATTGGAATTCCAATGTGCATAAAATGAACATATATTTAACTAAAATGAGCATTTATTTCACTAAATATAAACATTTTGAGGCCAAAAAGTCACAGATTGAATGCATTCGATATTGTTTTAAAATTTAAAATTTTATGATCGATTCTAACATTACACATTATCATTATAAGTCATACTTCACATTAGTGTTTTAAGAAACATTAAACAAACATTATCCAAAGTCATACTTCATATTTGTGTTTTTGGAAATATTACACATAATCAAAGTCATATTTTACATTTGTACTCTAGAAAATATTACACATTATCCGAAGTCATACGTACTTCACATTTGCACTCTAGAAAATATTTCACATTATCCGAAGTCATACTTCACAATTGTGTTTCAGAAAGTATTATACATTATTTAAAGTTCTACTTCACATTTGTGTTTCAGAAAGTATTACACATTATTTAAAGTTATACTTCACATTTGTGTTTTAGAAAGTACAAAACATTATGCAAAGTTATACGTCACATTTGCGTTTGAGAAAATATTACACATTATCCAAAATCATACTTCACATTTGTGTTTTAGAAAATATTACACATTATCCAAAATCATACTTCACATTTGTGTTTTAGAAAATATTACACATTAGGCCTTTCTAAAGTCATAATTCACATTTGCGTTTGAGAAAATATTACACATTATTCAAACTCATACATCACAATTGTGTGCCTAATTGAAAAATATTACACACTATCAAAAACCAAACTTCACATTTGTGAGATTTCATTGAAATATTACACATGATCAACTATTACACTTCACACAGATTTGAGTGTTATAATAGAACCTGTTACACATTATGCAGTCATACTTTTGTGTTTTCTATAAAAAATAACAAACATTATCCACAGTCGTATTTTGTGTTTGTGTGCTTTTTATGAAAAATATCAACAGTTGTTTCATGACACTTTCTCAGGTCAAAATCACAGAAGCCTATTACAAACTTTCCATTGGTAGCTTTAAAGTAGTCCAATCCACGCCCTACCTTTATAATCCAGCCATTGTCAAACCTGAAATAGTTTCACAGCTTTTGTAATGCTACACTTAAAACGTTAAAGAAATACTCGAATTCGAAGTAACCTTTGGAATGAAAAATACTTTTTGCACCTTTTAGACATTTCTGAAAATGTTTCAGAAACTTATTCTTGTTGACATTTGAAACACAAAATAAAAACTTATGACAGTGTTGTACATCAGCTTATTTTTCAATCATACTTATCTAAATATGTAAGCGCAAATGCCAACGGGGAATTACAAAAAATGGTTAGAGAACAAAGCAAGAAAAAGAAAACGTCCAAGAGTACACAAGTCATAAGAAAAAAAACCAACTATCCTGTATCATACTCCAATGTGAGAAGAAACAGATGTGTTCAGAATGATAATAAACCCCCACTATCCTGAATCCATCCCCCACCATTCTAGTACTGTACTCCCGGAATTTCCGTGTGCGATTTAGTTTCGTGCTTTTCGCGATTGTGGTAAAATCACGAAAATGAATTCACGAAATTGCCAATTTAATCCCTGGGGATTTGTGAATTTTTTATGACCTGGGACTCCATTGCATTTCATGTTTTGTAAAATGTTTGGAGGCGATAAATGGAATAGTAAGTGACAATGTCTGTGACAGTGGCTTATTAGATCAAATAAACCAAAAAATAGTGAAATTTAATAGCCGTAAAATCGCATTTTCTCAAAACTGTGTTCAACAACTTACCTTATCTCCCTATCATGCAGATTGTCCTTGTATTGTACTTGTAGCTGAACTTGATATGTTAGGAGATTAGCAGCTAATTCATCCAATTTTCTTTTTTGATCATTATGGGCTTGAGTGCTATTTGGATTCTGGAATGTTACGATGAGATGAATTAACGGTACCTGTTACTTTGATGCATTCAATGGCTTCCTTACAAAGCATTTTAACAAAAAAAAAACAGCTTTGTAATGAATATAATGATGGTAATAAATTAATGGTTCCTGTTACTTTGATGCATTCAATCGCTTCCTTACAAGTGTTTATGCCTGTGAGTGTGCAACACCTTAAAAATGCATATGTTACGAAGCTATTTTTCTCAAAATGCTTTGTAACATCTGATAAAACCTGCTATGTAATTCTGACTAATGACATTACAGAAGGATCAAAAGGTCACAGTGACATTGGTTAGGGAGAACTGGATCAAATTAGCAAATGACGAAATCCACTTGAATTGTAAAAATGTGTACCTCAGAGAACCATGGGATTGAATGTACATTGTAAAAATGTGTACCTCAAGAATCATGGGATTAAATGTACCTACATTGCCATCTTTCCCAGTTGTTAAGATGATCCTCTGTAAGTTGTGATTGTGCTTTGCCTTAATGAGGACCTCACAGAACCTAAGGAAATTGTAAATCTGAAAAATACACAAAATAAAATTTGAAAATGGTAAGTTCATGCTCACTTAATTACAAAGGACGATTCTTGGTTTGGAGAACAGTCTCCTGGGCTAATCATTTTTTTCATGAAAAATATGGAAATATTACCCAAATTAAACTATGAATATTCAAAAGAGGACATTTAAATCTACAAGATGTAAAAATAACAAGTTGGTCTGAAGCAGGGATAACGCTCAATTAGACCGATTCAATAAAATACAAGTCTCGATTTGGGGAAAGAAGTTCATCAGTGTACTGCGCTAATATTTTTTGCGAAAAATCTAGAAATATTACCCAAATTAAATTATGACTATTCAAAAGAAGACATTCAAACCTATATTATGTAAAAAAATCAAATTTGTCCGAAGCAGGGTTAATGCTCATTTAGATTGATGAACTTCGTTCTCCAAACCGAGAATTGTCCTTTTGAAAAAATTTTAAAAAGTGGTATAAAAATGAAAATGTAATTCATGAAATCGACTTTTAGTTAAATCCAATCTATTACTTTTTATTTGGAATAGCAATCAGTAGTCGATTAGAAAAATGAAAGTTTTCTTTTCAATTAAAAGATGTCACCCATGTAAAACAAATACCTGGTGGTTGCTCCTGATGTATGGATCTTCAACTTCAACCAGGGTGAGATCGCCATCTATAAACCGAGATATGAGTCTTTCGTAGCTATGGCCTGTTGAGTCATTCTTTATAAGGATCTGCTCATGATATCTACCAGCTGCAAGGTACGTCATCGTAAAGGCATTAAATAGATGCAGAATAGAGATCTGAATATTTGATATTACAAGTGAAAATATAGTGCTAAAATGATGATGTACGCATGACCAGTTTAGGGAAATACTTATTTATGTGCTCGCAAATGGAACCCAAAAAGTTATTTCAACATGTCGTTCTTCAATATCATCATTTGAATAACAACAGTATTCAATTACAGTTTATACAGAAAATTACCATTTGCAAAATTATATTACTATTTAGTGTATGAGGTCTTACATTGTTTTTCTTCTTCAATGTGTGTTTTAAGCTTCTCTGCCCTGACCATGTATTCTTCCACTTTCTGACGCATGGCTTGTCTCTTGCTCTCCTCTTGTGTTACTATGGAAACAGAATAACATAATATAAGCAACTGTTTATTCACACTTTCTGACACATAGCTTGTCTTTTGCCCTCCTCTTGTGTTACTATGGAAACAGAATAACATAATATAAGCAACTGTTTATTCACACTTTCTGACACATAGCTTGTCTTTTGCCCTCCTCTTGTGTTACTATGGAAACAGGATAACATTGTATAAGCAACTGTATTCTTCAACCTTCTGATACATAGCTTGTCTCTTACCCTCTTCTTTTGTAACTATGGAAACAAAATACCATATAATGATGTATAGCCTGTCTCTCCCCATAATACTATGGAAACAAAAACAAACAGAACAAGATCAGTAAACTGAATTTCTGATTATAGTTTGTTTATGGAAAAAGGATGATAACAATGAACAACTGTATTCCTCTACAATCCATTGTAAAGTTTGCCCTTTCCTATATTTATATGGAAACAGAACAACATCATATAAACAACTGTACTCCTTTTCCTTCTTATGTATAGCCTCTCCTTATGTTACTATTTCAATTCAATTTCAATTTGTTTATTTCATAAACACACATACAATATAGTATACAATGAGTGGGTGACACAAGGGTTTGTGTATATTCCCAAGATGGAGTAAATTAAATACAAAGTATGTTGAAATGGCGGGGATCTGCCATTGCATGCCCTCAATAAAAAAATACAAATTGTGCCATCAAATTGCCCCTAAAAAAATTAAAGTTGTAGCAAATATTTTTTAATCTGTTTTTTTCATGAGGATGATGCTTCTATGGAAACAAACCAACATCTTATAAACAGTGCCAATTTGAACCAATTTACTATATACCATATATTTTTCTTTTATGAGCAAACAGTTCAAATGAGTGCCCATGCAACTTTTATGATGAATATGCTAACGAGAAAACAAATTTAGTTTAATGAAACAATTTTGATTATTTACCCTACAACATATCTATTGATGATTATATTAAATGCAGAGAAAGAAATACAGGAGCTGTAGAGTGTAGAGCATGTAAACCTTCGTGATGACAACTAAAAATATTATCAGCGATTGGAATGTCTCAACACACCCTTTTGTAATTTCAATTTGGAAACCACACTGTGCGAACATTAAAGAGAATATGGTATATACAGACTACAGTACATATATCATGATATCTTACCTTTCATGACATCTAACAAGAGTTGAATACCCTCCTGGTAGCAGACAATAGCCTCTGTAAACCGCTTGGCAGTGTCCAGCTGCACAGCACGGCTGAGGAGCCCGATGGCGGCAGACTCCTGGCCTGGAACTTTGCTAGTCATGTTTTCTAAAAGTATCAAACAAAACCTAAGAAGATACAGAGTGAATGGTATCGCACCCTTGAACAGAACAAACAGCTTTTGAGACATAAAGTCCAAAATGGCTGCCTAAACATTTACCCATAATGCCCTAAAACTAATCAGTTGTTGACTATCATACCAAGAAACATCTCAACAGACAACATTTTAGGATGGAAACTCCAAAATGGTTACCATCACATTTACCCAGAATGCCCAAAAACGAATCAGTTCTAAACTTTCAAATGTAGAAACATTCATGAAAATTTTGGACGTATCCCTGAAACAGTTTTGGTGGAAACCTGTAAACAAGCCTTGAGAGACAAGATTTTAGGACGGAAAATTCAAAACAGCTGCCTTTACATTTACCCAGAATGCCCAAAAACTAATCAGTTATAAACATTCATACATAGTAACATTTCTGACAATTTCAGATGAATCCTTGAAACTGACTGGAACCTATAGACAAACATCAACAGACATGATTTTAAGACGAAAAATCTAAAATTGCCACCATAAAATTTACCAAGAATGCCCAAAAATTCTAAACTTTTATACTTAAACACATCCCTCAAAATTTCAGATGCATCCGTCAAACAGTTTGGCTGGAAACCTGTTGACAAGTCTCGACAGACAAGACTTCAGGATGGAAAATTTTAAATGGCCACCTTTACATTTACCAAGAGTGCCCAACTAGCAACATTGTGGTAATAATCATTTTTAGTAAATGTTTAGAGGTAGATCTCAAGGGTTACACTCTCCCCAGATTTAATGAGAGGCAGATTGCTTGACAATGCTGCAATCCTTTTGTGGTATGTTTTCATTGTTTACGAAAGCCTTGAACCCTGTTATCGTAAAGCTGTACGTCTCAAAAGTTTTATGATGTAATTTCTGCCATCATTGATGAACTGAAATCATGAATAGACTATATAGGAAAATGTATCAAGTCCTTTTTGACACTCATAATTATACGGGGATCAAAAAAAGGCGTTCTCCATAAAACAAAAATAAAAAATGTGGAGAAAAATGGATCCGTTCTCAAATGGTGGATGTGGGGCCCCTGGTTGCCACATGCACCCCTTCCCCTATTTTTGGGTAAAACATATCTCTGTGAAGAGTAAACAAAGAAAGTAAACAGGCTTCAAATAACAATACATTGACAGAAAACGAGAAAAAGTTTCAAAACTTACTTTCTTTAACTCTTCCAATTAGAGATTTTCATGACACACCCCAAATAACTTCCGGCAAAATAAAAAAATTGTCACAGACAGGGCTCATTTAAAACACTGTTTTTATTTAGAATCTATCCAAGTCATTCATACAAAATGTACGAACATGCAGATAAAACACAGGGACACATATGCGGACATTCAGTTGCAGTTTTATCTACACATCAAACGCTAAAAGAGATGGAATTTGAGAGAGGAATTTGGAGTTTTGTTTTGGATGGGGAAATTGACAAAATCAAAGATTACTTCTTTAAAGGTGGGGATCCCAACCTCAAAGATAGCTCTGGCTATGCCCCATTGGTATGTCGTCATTTATTTTATTTCATGAATTCAAATATGTGACTTTGTGGTTTAGTTCTTGCAGTCTTACTCCATGCCACCCCAACCCCATGTAAATTTGTTGAGTAAGTGTATAGTAAAGTAGCTTTTTTATTCCACAGATAGCAGATTTTAAGGGAAAATACATGTAAAATGTCTGTCTCTTTCTCTCTTGCAGTCCGTGCCTTATTTGTGGAAATAGGCCCCACATTTGAAGTAGCAATAGGAATAACAAGAACTGTATTTCTGGAAGACATTGTTGATCCTTTTATAAATATAGGTATAAGGTAGCTCTATAAAGGACTCTCGATTTGTCGTTATTAGATTTCAAATCAAAAAATAACAAGCAGAGACTCCTTTATAGGGCTAATGTATAAGCTGACCAATTTTGCCGCTAGGCCCTTGTATAAATTATAATGTATCCTGTCTGTTCTCTGTTTAAGCACTACTCGTGCCGCAGTGGAAACGCTGACATCACACAATTGCTTCTTGAGAATGGGGCTGATGTGAATTGTAGAACCAGATCTGGTGGCGTCACTCCTCTACATAGGGCATGTATGAGAGGGCATGTAGATGTTGCAAAAATCCTCATGAAGTATAATGCCAACATCAGTGTCCAAGACAATGATGGAAAAACATGTCTTAATAAAGTAAGTACATAAAACAGTAGTGAAATAATACAGTTAATAACACCCTCGGCATTTAATCCACAACATAGGGCATGTATGAGAGGGCATGTAGATTAAAAAATTATGAAGCATACTGTCAACATCAATGTTAAAGATAGCAAGGTATTAACATGCCTTCATAAACTAACTAATCTTTATCACTCCAAATACAAACGCACCAGTCCTTTTCCCGCGTTCCAGGAAGATTCCGGACCCTCACGATCGGCTGGTCAATGATGGATATCTACAACTAGGGAGGCGATGAAGGCCATGTGAAAGTCTAACCTTGAAAGCAGAGCTGCATTGTTTTCATTAGAAATTTTATTAGCATTGAGCAACATTCTCTGTATGATGTACACTTTCACTTTCTTCATGCTGGATATCTAGGGAGGCGATGACGGCCAGGTGAAAGTCTAACCTTACAAGCGGGGCTGGTTTTTCCTTATAACTTTAAAAATAATCAATACTGCACTAATCCATTTTTATTTTCTGTTGAAAGTATACTGTGTGATATCTCAAACGTACTCAGACAACCAATTTTACTTTGGATAAACAATATTCCAAATCAGCCTATAGCATTAAGTGATTTAAATGACTGATATCTCAAACGTACTCAGTCAACCAATTATACTTTTGATAAATTATTTAAATGACTGATTTGTTAATTACGAAAATAGATCGAACATAGTCTGATTCCATGCATCACCTGGTATGAATGAAAAAGTCATTTTTATATCGTCCATGCTTCAACGTAGTGTAATACTTAAAATGATCAACACTGCTTTGCGCTAAACGCCGATCTCAAACGTACTCAGACAACCAATTTTACTTTGGGTAAACAATATTCAAAATTAGCCCATAGCATTAAATGATTTAAATGACTGATTGTTTTAATTATGACAATAGGCCGAACATAATCTGATTCCATCGTTTATCAAGAAGATGTATCAATTATTAGTCAGTTAGTATGGCCAAAAGCATTGTCAACTATATTTCGAGATAATGTTTGCGATATGAAATCTGTGAAAGATTCAGTTAAAACAAAAGATTTTTCCTTGGGGGAGATAAGGGTAGTTACGGAAAATAGTAGAATGTTTGTCATTATCCACAAAAAAAACTTTAATAGTATCGTCCTAAAAATGTTTTCTGCAATGAGGTACATGAAGGCATGCAAGTATTATAGAACCAAATACATGAAATAAAGTTTTCTTTGCGTGCAACTGCAACAGAGGTTTCAAGAATTTCTTGATAATATGAGTTTATTTCTCCATGTATTTGAATGAAGTTTGTTTGAAGTACAAATCTTTCCTCGCCCAATGTTGAAGTACATTTGTACATTTTCAGATGGAAAAAGAATATCCCCGCTATTCTATAATACGAATTAAGGTGTAATAAATAGAAATGAACAAATATGTCAGCATTTTTCAATCTACGTGGATTCTGTAAAAGAACACGTAAGGTACGGTTTCAAAGTATACTGAAAAGGATATCTGCTTATACATTGATACATGCGCGGCCTTGACAGAACAAACCTACTAACCCATATACGTGGGCTACTAACCTAGATACGTCTAGCTAATTTGCATAAAGTTGTAGCAGTCTGAATCCACTTTTTTGCTCGAAACTCGCTGTATAAAAAATGGAATTTATTAGTCTTTAACTCTGCCGTTGATTGACAGACTTCGAAAAAATAATACCATGGCTTTGCTCGGAAGTATAGCTTTCCGATGGTTCCACTTTTGTAATGACCAAATTGCGAGAAAATGGAGGAAATGGAGAGTAAAGGTGATTTCTCGAATGCCAAGTTTCACTTAAGAAATGCTGCGTTCTGATTGGCCGACTTTCTTGCAGTCCCAATCCACTTAAATAGCTCTCCAAACTCACGTTTTACAGAAATGACACTTATCGGTCTTTTCTCCGCCATTTTTCGATCGATTTCTAAAAGCATAATGTCATAGTGAAGCTTACATTGCCAGTTTCCAGATGGCATCACTTTTGAAGCGATCCACGTGCGAAAAGAAGGTAAAATTTGAGTGGGAAAAAGTTTCTCGATAATCGAAGATTCACTTTAGAAATACTGAGGAATCTGGCATTCTGATTGGTCAGTTTTCCTGCATTCTCAAGCCACTTTTCCGACTCCAAACTGAGTTGTTAGAAATGGCACTTACATCTCTCGATTTTGTTTCACAAAATGACTAATATCTGAAACTGATATACCTGAAACGTCAGTGTAAAGGATGAATCAAATCCGAAATTATTCAAGAAGACGAGGTTATATATAAAAACGATGAAATAAAACTAAAAACCTCTCTGGTTTTATGTAATTCTCGTCTCTGGAATGTCTGAAGAATACCTAAACCCCAAAGACTTTTGCCAAAAATAAATGAAACTAAAAATATTATTAGTAACTAGAACCCACGGGAGTAATTGTATAGGTTCTAAATAGCTGACTAACGCTGATATAATAGTTATCACTTTTGTTTGTTTTTGACTTTACTTGGGCCAGACCTCCATTCACTTCAATGCTAGAAACGTGCAATAGTCACTTAATTTCATGATTTATCAAAAAGTGTTGGTTGAATCTGTCTGAAACTCGAATGACATACTATTGGATGACCCCGTCAATGTACATATTGTGATTAAACATGAAATGTTGGTTGTCATACAAATTAGCCAAGGTTTGAATGAATTTTAGCATTGCTCCAATGGGGATTTGGCCCAAGTTTTTTCAAATGTCATGGAAAATGATTTAAATGACACAACTGTGTAAATCAAAGCTATATTGGAGAAAATTTGTCACTGAATTCAAATATGCTATCAAAAATAGAGATAATAGAGATAAAAAGTGCAAATCTCTTAAAATCTCGACATGAAAAAACGAGAGTTAGCGAGATTTCAAAGCTAGATTTTCTATTGCACACGGTAGAATTAAAATGCACGCGAGTAAATTGTTATTTTATATATGTTCTTCTAATATGAATAAAAAAAATTGATGCCATCTCTATATTTATCATTGCCGAAATTATGTACAAGGGAGGTACTGTATATTGTTGCAATTCACAATTTCAGGGAAAATAGGCTGTAATCGGCCCTTGTGCCCTGGAGAAGAAATAAGCGATATCTAGGACAAAATATTTCGTATCATTAAATTTAAACCCCTTATTTATGTAAAATTCTTTAAAATTGTACTTACTGCAATATGATACTGCGAGCCCATCGTCTTCACTGGTAGGGTAAAACAGGTTAATTGTATTAAATAAACACAAAACTAAATAGTGGATTCTTTATATTTATGATCATTCAAACACTTTTTATTACTAGTGCATTTAATCATCTCAGCGTTTGCATATTCTTTGACAATATTGTCTGTAAATCCAGATCCCCTAAACGTATACGTATATTGCTTGCTATACTCACGAATGAACAAATTATTTACCCAAAGAAATATACATAATGTATCGCCTTTTTTAATGTTCACGGACGTTAAAAAATCAGATAAACTAAGGAAATGGTTAACTCATTTTATGTTTGATTTGTTTGATAAGGCATAATGTAGGCCTACTTGGCTACCGCAGCGTCCATCGTACAAACGCGAAAACGGACGCTCTTAATCAATGATCAGTTCACATTTCCACATCCAAAAGTATTTCATTTTTATTTTCAGTTTATACATAATGTGTAATGTCATTTCTGTATATTCACATGGATTATAATGATGATAAATACATGTTTTACATTCTTACAGTTAATTTCATGTTTCAAAAATGTTAATAGTACGCAACAATTTCAAGACAACAGTAAGCGTTCTAAAATGCTGAAAATCATATGCGTTCAAAGTATAATAAATAATACACTCATTTACAAATAAGTGACTTTGGTATATTTGCAACGAGTTACTTACAAATCAACGTTTATAGGGACAACATTTTGGGCCAATATTAACGAAATCCTTGAATGCCAAGCTTGTTAATAAGCATTAATTTTTCGATATTGTAAGATGCCCAGCGTTCGTAAAATATAACTACATTGTATACTGTATATGAGGCATAGATCAGGTCGAATTATTTATAATGAAAAAAACAAACATTACGTTTCATTCATATTCATGCATATCTTATTTCCAATACACGAATTTCAAGTATTTACTTCATTTGCACACTAAATTACGTTAACAGATACAATCTAACAAACATCAGCGTTTGCAAAAATACGAAAATCACGTGCGTTCATAGCATAATAAAAAGTTACCTCAGTTAGTTTGCAATACAATTTCTTTAATTACTTGACCAGTAACGTATTATTCACCATTCATAGGGACATTATTCAATCTACTATATTCGGGCCGATATGCAATTAAACCTTGTCAACTTTGTTGAAACGCGTTTACTATACGATGTTGTAAGATACCCAGCGTCTGTTAAATCAACTTAAATCAAACTGAGACCGGGTCGATTTATTAAGACCGACCTAAACAAACATAAATAAATAAGAATAGATTATTCATTCTCAGTTGATGACATATTTCCCTGTGTATATAAACGCGTTATTTTGGGCCGATTTTGGGCCGATCTTGGCACTTTAGCGACATACATTTTCCCATCGGCCGAATCGGCCCAATGGCACTCAAAGGGTTAAACAGTGGTTTTACTGTCATTTTTCATTCATTATTGTCATTTTTCATGTTTTTGTATTTGTAATGGCAGTTTGTTTCCTTTCCAATCCAGAATCTCTTCATAATTTCACATTTAATTCCAGACTGTTGAAAATGGACACTTAGACGTTATAAAGATATTCCTATCCCACCCACAATTTAAGGACATTATACAGTATAAAGACAATAAAGGGAGAACTTTGAAAGACTATGGAGAAAATTTGGATGATTCTAAAAAGCAAAAACTTTTAGAACTTTTGTATATTAGTGTTGATACTGGGAGTTAAGAGAGCTTGGTACTCTGGCATCAATTTCCAAAGGAGTGCAGCCTGACCTTGAAATAGGAAAGATTTAAATCAGTGAGGCAAATTAAAATAGACGAGACAAATTTGAGTGAAGACAATTCAACTTCACTTTCACAGGAAGGAAATCTGTATTGGTTCTTAGAGATCAATGGCCCTCTCAAGGTCGGGCCATAAATCAATGAAAACCTCGGGCATATATGCCACGATAGTGACATAACGTAAATACAGGACTACACTACTTGTTATATGTCTATATGATTTGTGATACAGGGCTACATGATTTAGTATAAAGGAATAATTTGTGATACATGGCTATATGATTTCTTATGCAGGGCTACATGATTTATCATAAAGGGCTACAGACTTTGTTAAACAGGGCTACATGATTTGTTATTCAGGGCTATATGATTTATCATACAGGGCTACTTCATTCGTTACACAGGGCTACATAATTTATTATACAGGGCTACATCATTTGTAATACAGGGCTAAATTATTTGTTATACAGGGCTACAGCATTCGTTCCACAGGGCCTCACAATTTATTATACAGGGCTACATCACTTGTTATACAGGGCTCCATGATTTGTTATTCAGGGCTACATGATTTATCATACAGGGAAACACCACTTGTTATACAGGGCTCCTTGATGTATTATACAGGGAAACATCATTTGTTATACAGGGCTACATCATGCCTTATGATACAGGGCAAAATAGCTATATCATCATTTCATATGGCTATTTTCATCTAGAATTGAGAGTGTGAAATAACATGTTCATCCATCCTGTTGTATCGTAAGCTACATGTACAGTAGCACATATAGTAATTTCGTATGTGAAGTAGTCATGCTGATCTAGCAAATATGAATATGATGAATGCGTGGGTATTTCTTTGAACCATACACCCCTATCCAAAAGTTTTCCAGCCCTGACTGCCCTATGTGTAGCTTATGCACGTTTAAGCTTGTTGAATTTTGAAATTAAGTTTTAATTCCAATCAGGAGGAGATCTAGAATCTATGAGAAGGGTATTTTTTAAAATCAGAAAATACACATAGACTTTATAACAGTGCTGGTTTTGATGAAACAGTTGGGGTTTCCAAACATCAGGAGAGGGGTGTACAATGAATGTTAATAAATTTAGTACTAATTTGATAAAAATGAAATACCAAATGAAACGTGACTTTTGATATGTCATTAATTTATCTCTGTCATGAATCGCTATAAAACAATGCTGTGTGTTAGATGCTTCTACAGAACTGAAGGGCCCTCGCAGCAAGCAATTATTGTTTACAGACGTACTGAACCAAAAGGCGTGATTTCAACAGGCAATTTATTACAAAGATGTTGAGGGTGCTTGTAGTATTGGTTTACATGGTGACATATGGAGGGACAACTGGTGACAGAACACCCCTCGGGAACTCAATAAATGCGTTTGCGCTTGATTTGTACAATGAGCTATTGGGTTGTATGAATGATTCGGTAAATGACAGCATGGTTATAAGCCCGTTTAGTATCTCGACTGCATTTGGAATGGCGTATCTCGGAGCTGCTGGAGACACAGCGACTCAAATCGCCCGCGTTCTGAAGTATCCAACAAATGTACATGAACAGTTTGAGGCTCTTCTGACAAACATAGCTTTCTCAGATGAGAACTACAAACTGAACGCTGCAAATAATGTATTCCCGCTAACTGGTTTGGAGATTCGGCCCCAGTATGTGAGTGATGTCCTTCAGTTTTACTTAGCAGCAATAAAAGAACTTGACTTTCAGAAATATCCTGAGGAATCCAGACAGTATATTAACGAATGGGTGTCCAACAAAACAATGGAGAAAATTCCCGAATTGCTGCATAGAGGTGATGTCAATAGTGGCACTGTCCTTGTGCTGGTGAACGCCATCTACTTCAAGGGAGATTGGCTGACCCAATTCAACCCAAACGTCACATCAATTGTAGATTTTTACGTGTCTCCTCTGCAACGGATCTCTGTTGATATGATGCATAGCCAGGACATATACAGATATATCGAAGACCCAGTACTAGATGCTCAAGTACTGCAACTTCCATACACAGGGGAGGAAGTTAGTATGATTGTCATATTACCAAAAAATCAAAATGGCCTTCCTGACCTTGAGGCATCGTTAACTACAAGCAACTTGGACGAAGCCATCGCAAAACTCTACGCTCCTTACTCGTCTATTCTAGTAGATGTACATTTGCCTTAAATTCAAAATGGAGTGGAGGGGTGACCTAGTTGGATATCTCCAAAAACTGGGAATGTTGGATGCATTTTCGTCCAGAGCCGACTTCTCACCTCTCTCTCCGCATGTCCCGTTTATCACAAAAGTCATCCATAAGGCTATTGTAGAGGTAAACGAGAAGGGTAAGAAAATCGTTGAATTTATTAGGGAGGTTAAGCTACACTTTTTAAAGAGAACGTGTACATGAATTTGGTTCTCTGGGGATAAGTTCTTCCCTTAGTAGGATTTTCTTGGCCGATTAGTGAGAAGGGGGGGGGGTAATTTCTGAGGGTCAAGTTATTACACGTTCACGTACAGGTTATCTTTGAAACGTGTAGCTTAACCTCCCTATTAACATCACTGACACCAGAGAACGTTGCACTTTTTTCCAAAAAACGCGCGAGGGATGCAAAAATTACGATGCGCGAAAAAAGAACAAAAAGTTGCTCTAAAGGTATGTACACTGGTGATCTACTCCGGATTACGCTGTCGTTTCGGTAACAAAATTTCGGAACCTCGAAGGTATACGATTTCTCTTTTTTCACGCGTTTAGGCAGAATTCCCTCGACATTTTTATCACAAACGTGTGTCAGTATCGTATGTTTAAGAAAATGTACAGAATTGATGTCCGCGGTTGTGGAAGTCGAATATGGTTTTAAAAATTGTTTGTCAACTTTGAATTTTTTTTGAGTGTGACTTCTAGTTGGGGGAGATTCTCTGCGTAGGAATTTTTGTTACAAAATCAAAAAAGTGAAATTACTTTTCTTGTACTGGACAGATGGTATTTCTTTTACTGAATACATTTAATGATACATAGGGGTGATATGAAAATTGAACCACTAAAATCGATGAACATTCAAGTTAACGCGCACTTTCTACTATGCCCGCCATGCTATCTGACCCGAATGAGCCACCTGGTGGTGAAACTCTACTCGCATCGGAGTTTTTTAATCGATTTTCCTTTGGTATTCAATCGGGCTGGCAAATGCTATGGGTCAATAATTAAGGACCAATACACGTTTACGTTGTCTATGGTTCGTGTTTTAATATAAAACGTGTAACTTAACTTCTCCAGTGTAGGTCATCAGGTACCTGAAGTTTTGATTGGATATCTATCATTTTCATTGATCTCGTCTTCCTGTATTTATCAAAATTGATTGATGACAGTGTAGCTTGACATATGTTCACATTTTGTTTATTTAATTATTTCTCTCAAGACTTCAAAGTTTCTGTATTGTATCTATTAATTGTATCTGTATTGTTATATGTTATATTATATGTAATTTTGGTTGCTCTGCAACACATTTTGAAATAAGCACTGATACGCCCAATTACTAAGGGTGTCGAGTGCACACGTTTTGTACTTTACATTGTTATATTATGAAATAAACTATAACTATAACTAAATCTTGTCTCAAAATGTGTCCTAAATCGCTCTAATGTTTTAACATGTTTATAAAAATATTTTCTCTTATCTACATATTTTAGGAAAAGTGAAGATTTCGCAAATAATAATTTGTTTGGGTATAACTCTAGAAATAGATCTGTACGTTGACAAGGTGTCTGAACTTTTAAAGAAGACCACTTGGTCGACATATACTGTAGTTACGTTGTCAACGTACAGTATATGATAAGTGTAAAATAACGTTTTAAATTAAAAACAGTTTGCATGTAAATGAATTCTACATATGTATTATACTTAATTTTAATGTTATTTACACCGTTTTGCTTTTCTTTCTGCGATTGATTTAATTACAGAACCAGTGTCTCTGAGCAAAGAGTCAAATATCGCATCAGCAATTCGCGTTTTTACAGAAAATTCATCAGCGTCAAAATTCACAAATTCCTTTTCTTCAGTTCGTAATTCCTGCTCTAATATCCTATCTATGCGATCTTTCTTCTTTTTACCCACCCATTTGGTTCTGCTTTCCGTTTTCGTTTTTTGAACTAAACCAAGAGATTGTAAAATCTCATTCTCCACAAGAGGACGCAATTCACAAAGTTTTGTGGGAGCTGACCTCCCTTTGAAATACTGTTTTTTGATTGGCTTAGGTTTCATCCATGTGGCATATTCATCTTCCTCATCCTCGTCCTGATAAATATCAACCATTAGCTCGCCAACCAAATCAAACACTAGGTGTTTATATGCTCGTTTGCTGTTCGCTTTCATGTCAGTGCCTCTCTCGGGTTTCAGGAAATATGGCGGAGCTTGAACGCCTTTCAGAGACTGCCTAGATATCCTTTGAGCCCAGTATACATCCAGAGCATAAGAGATAACCTTTTTCACTTCTGAGTGTTCTTCCGATACTTTCTGTAAGTTGAGTTTGTTTGACTCTTGCCTGGCCACGGAAGCTCCTTTAACATCTGTGATTAACTCCTTTACTTCTGGTTGTTTTTCTGGTAATTTCTGTAAGTCGAGGTGGTTGGAATCTTGCCCGGAGGCCGCGGAGGCTCCTCTTCCATCACTGAGAGGGCCAGAGTAGAGAGGGGGAGACTTCCTGAGGATCCTACGTTTCCCAACTCCAAGATCACCATAAAAAAATTTTCCTGTTCATTAACTAACACAAATGAGTCCTTAAGGTCATCTTTTTGTGTTATAAAAGCATCATCAATTAGTCCCACATTTTCTTCATAATCGCACAGTAAATCTAATCTTCGACTTAAAGAAGTGTTCGATACTTTCTGTAAGAGTTTGTTTGATTCTTCCTTGGTCTCGGGAACTCCTTTTGCATCCGAGATTAACTCATTCACTTCTGGTTGTTCTTCTGCTAATTTCTGTAAGTTGAGTTTGCTTGATTCTTCCTTGGTCACGGAATCTCCTTTTGCATCCGAGATTAACTCATTCACTTCTGGTTGTTCTTCTTGTGATTTCTGTAAGTTGAGTTTGTTTGATTCTTCCTTGGTCACGGAAACTCCTTTTGCATCCGAGATTAACTCATTCACTTCTGGTTGTCCTTCTGGTAATTTCTGTAAGTTGAGTTTGCTTGATTCTTCCTTGGTCACGGAAGCACCTTTCTCATCCGAGATTAACTCTTTCACTTCTGGTTGTCCCTCTGGTAATTTCTGTAAGTTGAGTTTGCTTGATTCTTCCTTGGTCACGGAAATTCCTTTTGCATCCGAGATTAACTCATTCACTTCTGGTTGTTCTTCTGGTAGGCCTAATTTCTGTAAGTTGAGTTTGTTTGATTCTTCCTTGGTCACGGAAACTCCTTTTGCATCCGAGATTAACTCATTCACTTCTGGTTGTTCTTCTGGTAGGCCTAATTTCTGTAAGTTGAGTTTGTTTGATTCTTCCTTGGTCTCGGGAACTCCTTTCTCATCCGAGATTAACTCTTTCACTTCTGGTTGTCCCTCTGGTAATTTCTGTAAGTTGAGTTTGTTTGATTCTTCCTTGGTCACGGAGACTCCTTTTGCATCCGAGATTAACTCATTCACTTCTGGTTGTTCTTCTGCTAATTTCTGTAAGTTGAGTTTGCTTGATTCTTCCTTGGTCACGGAATCTCCTTTTGCATCCGAGATTAACTCATTCACTTCTGGTTGTTCTTCTGGTGATTTCTGTAAGTTGAGTTTGTTTGATTCTTCCTTGGTCACGGAAACTCCTTTTGCATCCGAGATTAACTCATTCACTTCTGGTTGTCCTTCCGGTAATTTCTGTAAGTTGAGTTTGTTTGATTCTTCCTTGGTCACGGAAACTCCTTTTGCATCCGAGATTAACTCATTCACTTCTGGTTGTTCTTCTGGTAATTTCTGTAAGTTGAGTTTGTTTGATTCTTCCTTGGTCTCGGGAACTCCTTTCTCATCCGAGATTAACTCTTTCACTTCTGGTTGTCCCTCTGGTAATTTCTGTAAGTTGAGTTTGTTTGATTCTTCCTTGGTCACGGAAACTCCTTTTGCATCCGAGATTAACTCATTCACTTCTGGTTGTTCTTCTGGTAATTTCTGTAAGTTGAGTTTGTTTGATTCTTCCTTGGTCTCGGGAACTCCTTTCTCATCCGAGATTAACTCTTTCACTTCTGGTTGTCCCTCTGGTAATTTCTGTAAGTTGAGTTTGTTTGATTCTTCCTTGGTCACGGAAACTCCTTTTGCATCCGAGATTAACTCATTCACTTCTGGTTGTTCTTCTGGTAATTTCTGTAAGTTGAGTTTGTTTGATTCTTCCTTGGTCTCGGGAACTCCTTTCTCATCCGAGATTAACTCTTTCACTTCTGGTTGTCCCTCTGGTAATTTCTGTAAGTTGAGTTTGTTTGATTCTTCCTTGGTCACGGAAACTCCTTTCTCATCCGAGATTAACTCTTTCACTTCTGGTTGTTCTTCTGGTAATTTCTGTAAGTTGAGTTTGTTTGATTCTTCCTTAGTCACGGGAACTCCTTTTGCATCCGAGATTAACTCATTCACTTCTGGTTGTCCTTCCGGTAATTTCTGTAAGTTGAGTTTGTTTGATTCTTCCTTGGTCACGGAGACTCCTTGTGCATCCGAGATTAACTCATTCACTTCTGGTTGTTCTTCTGGTAATTTCTGTAAGTTGAGTTTGTTTGATTCTTCCTTGGTCACGGAATCTCCTTTTGCATCCGAGATTAACTCATTCACTTCTTGTTGTTCTTCTGGTAATTTATTGAAGTTGAGTTTGTTTGATACTTCCTTGGTCTCGGAAACTCCTTTTGCATCCGAGATTAACTCATTCACTTCTGGTTGTTCTTCTGGTAATTTCTGTAAGTTGAGTTCGTTTGATTCTTCCTTGGTCACGGAGACTCCTTGTGCATCCGAGATTAACTCATTCACTTCTGGTTGTTCTTCTGGTAATTTCTGTAAGTTGACTTTGTTTGATTCTTCCTTAGTCACGGAAACTCCTTTTGCATCCGAGATTAACTCATTCACTTCTGGTTGTTCTTCTGGTAATTTCTGTAAGTTGACTTTGTTTGATTCTTCCTTGGTCACGGAAACTCCTTTTGCATCCGAGATTAACTCATTCACTTCTGGTTGTTCTTCTGGTAATTTCTGTAAGTTGACTTTGTTTGATTCTTCCTTAGTCACGGAAACTCCTTTTGCATCCGAGATTAACTCACTCACTTCTGGTTGTTCTTCTGGTAATTTCTGTAAGTTGACTTTGTTTGATTCTTCCTTGGTCACGGAAACTCCTTTTGCATCCGAGATTAACTCATTCACTTTTGGTTGTTCTTCTGGTAATCTCTGTAAGTTGAGTTTGTTTGATTCTTCCTTGGTCACGGAAACTCCTTTTGCATCCGAGATTAACTCATTCACTTTTGGTTGTTCTTCTGGTAATTTCTGTAAGTTGACTTTGTTTGATTCTTCCTTAGTCACGGAAACTCCTTTTGCATCCGAGATTAACTCATTCACTTCTGGTTGTTCTTCTGGTAATTTCTGTAAGTTGACTTTGTTTGATTCTTCCTTGGTCACGGAAACTCCTTTTGCATCCGAGATTAACTCATTCACTTTTGGTTGTTCTTCTGGTAATCTCTGTAAGTTGAGTTTGTTTGATTCTTCCTTGGTCACGGAAACTCCTTTTGCATCCGAGATTAACTCATTCACTTTTGGTTGTTCTTCTGGTAATCTCTGTAAGTTGAGTTTGTTTGATTCTTCCTTGGTCTCGGAAACTCCTTTTGCATCCGAGATTAACTCATTCACTTCTGGTTGTTCTTCTGGTAATTTCTGTAAGTTGAGTTTGCTTGATTCTTCCTTGGTCACGGAAACTCCTTTTGCATCCGAGATTAACTCATTCACTTCTGGTTGTTCTTCTGGTAATTTATGTAAGTTGAGTTTGTTTGATTCGTCCTTGGTCACGGAAGCACCTTTCTCATCCGAGATTAACTCATTCACTTCTGGTTGTTCTTCTGGTAATTTCTGTAAGTTGAGTTTGCTTGATTCTTCCTTGGTCACGGAAACTCCTTTTGCATCCGAGATTAACTCATTCACTTCTGGTTGTTCTTCTGGTAATTTCTGTAAGTTGAGTTTGCTTGATTCTTCCTTGGTCACGGAAACTCCTTTTGCATCCGAGATTAACTCATTCACTTCTGGTTGTTCTTCTGGTAATTTATGTAAGTTGAGTTTGTTTGATTCGTCCTTGGTCACGGAAGCACCTTTCTCATCCGAGATTAACTCTTTCACTTCTGGTTGTCCCTCTGGTAATTTCTGTAAGTTGAGTTTGTTTGATTCTTCCTTGGTCACGGAGACTCCTTTTGCATCCGAGATTAACTCATTCACTTCTGGTTGTTCTTCTGGTAATTTCTGTAAGTTGAGTTTGTTTGATTCTTCCTTGGTCTCGGGAACTCCTTTCTCATCCGAGATTAACTATTTCACTTCTGGTTGTCCCTCTGGTAATTTCTGTAAGTTGAGTTTGTTTGATTCTTCCTTGGTCACGGAAACTCCTTTTGCATCCGAGATTAACTCATTCACTTCTGGTTGTTCTTCTGGTAATTTCTGTAAGTTGAGTTTGCTTGATTCTTCCTTGGTCACGGAAACTCCTTTTGCATCCGAGATTAACTCTTTCACTTCTGGTTGTTCTTCTGGTAATTTCTGTAAGTTGAGTTTGTTTGATCCTTCCTTGGTCACGGAGACTCCTTGTGCATCCGAGATTAACTCATTCACTTCTGGTTGTTCTTCTGGTAATTTCTGTAAGTTGAGTTTGTTTGATTCTTCCTTGGTCTCGGGAACTCCTTTCTCATCCGAGATTAACTCTTTCACTTCTGGTTGTCCCTCTGGTAATTTCTGTAAGTTGAGTTTGTTTGATTCTTCCTTGGTCACGGAAACTCCTTTTGCATCCGAGATTAACTCATTCACTTCTGGTTGTTCTTCTGGTAATTTCTGTAAGTTGAGTTTGCTTGATTCTTCCTTGGTCACGGAAACTCCTTTTGCATCCGAGATTAACTCATTCACTTCTGGTTGTTCTTCTGGTAATTTCTGTAAGTTGAGTTTGTTTGATTCTTCCTTGGTCACGGAGACTCCTTGTGCATCTGAGATTAACTCTTTCACTTCTGGTTGTTCCTCTGGTAATTTCTGTAAGTTGAGTTTGTTTGATTCTTCCTTGGTCACGGAGACTCCTTGTGCATCCGAGATTAACTCTTTCACTTCTGGTTGTTCCTCTGGTAATTTCTGTAAGTTGAGTTTGTTTGATTCTTCCTTGGTCACGGAGACTCCTTTTGCATCCGAGATTAACTCATTCACTTCTGGTTGTTCTTCTGGTAATTTCTGTAAGTTGAGTTTGTTTGATTCTTCCTTGGTCACGGAGACTCCTTGTGCATCCGAGATTAATTCTTTCACTTCTGGTAGTTCTCCTGGTAATGTATGGAAGTTGAGTTTGTTTGATTCTTCCTTGGTCACGGAAACTCCTTTTGCATCCGAGATTAACTCATTCACTTCTGGTTGTTCCTCTGGTAATTTCTGTAAGTTGAGTTTGTTTGATTCTTCCTTGGTCACGGAGACTCCTTTTGCATCCGAGATTAACTCTTTCACTTCTGGTTGTTCCTCTGGTAATTTCTGTAAGTTGAGTTCGTTTGATTCTTCCTTGGTCACGGAAACTCCTTTTGCATCCGAGATTAACTCATTCACTTCTGGTTGTTCCTCTGGTAATTTCTGTAAGTTGAGTTTGTTTGATTCTTCCTTGGTCACGGAAACTCCTTTTGCATCCGAGATTAACTCATTCACTTCTGGTTGTTCTCCTGGTAATGTATGGAAGTTGAGTTTGTTTGATTCTTCCTTGGTCACGGAAACTCCTTTTGCATCCGAGATTAACTCATTCACTTCTGGTTGTTCCTCTGGTAATTTCTGTAAGTTGAGTTTGTTTGATTCTTCCTTGGTCACGGAGACTCCTTTTGCATCCGAGATTAACTCTTTCATTTCTGGTTGTTCCTCTGGTAATTTCTGTAAGTTGAGTTCGTTTGATTCTTCCTTGGTCACGAAAACTCCTTTTGCATCCGAGATTAACTCTTTCACTTCTGGTTGTCCCTCTGGTAATTTCTGTAAGTTGAGTTCGTTTGATTCTTCCTTGGTCACGGAAGCTCCTTTTGCATCCGAGATTAACTCATTCACTTCTGGTTGTTCCTCTGGTAATTTCTGTAAGTTGAGTTTGTTTGATTCTTCCTTGGTCACGGAGACTCCTTTTGCATCCGAGATTAACTCTTTCATTTCTGGTTGTTCCTCTGGTAATTTCTGTAAGTTGAGTTCGTTTGATTCTTCCTTGGTCACGAAAACTCCTTTTGCATCCGAGATTAACTCTTTAACTTCTGGTTGTCCCTCTGGTAATTTCTGTAAGTTGAGTTCGTTTGATTCTTCCTTGGTCACGGAAGCTCCTTTTGCATCCGAGATTAACTCATTCACTTCTGGTTGTTCCTCTGGTAATTTCTGTAAGTTGAGTTTGTTTGATCCTTCCTTGGTCACGGAAGCTCCTTTTGCATCCGAGATTAACTCATTCACTTCTGGTTGTCCTTCCGGTAATTTCTGTAAGTTGAGTTCGTTTGATTCTTCCTTGGTCACGGAAGCTCCTTTTGCATCCGAGATTAACTCATTCACTTCTGGTTGTCCCTCTGGTAATTTCTGTAAGTTGAGTTCGTTTGATTCTTCCTTGGTCACGGAAGCTCCTTTTGCATCCGAGATTAACTCATTCACTTCTGGTTGTTCCTCTGGTAATTTCTGTAAGTTGAGTTTGTTTGATCCTTCCTTGGTCACGGAAACTCCTTTTGCATCCGAGATTAACTCATTCACTTCTGGTTGTCCCTCTGGTAATTTATGTAAGTTGAGTTTGTTTGATCCTTCCTTGGTCACGGAGACTCCTTTTGCATCCGAGATTAACTCATTCACTTCTGGTTGTCCTTCCGGTAATTTCTGTAAGTTGAGTTTGTTTGATTCTTCCTTGGTCACGGAGACTCCTTTTGCATCCGAGATTAACTCATTCACTTCTGGTTGACCTTCTGGTAATTTCTGTAAGTTGAGTTTGTTTGATTCTTCCTTGGTCTCGGGAACTCCTTTCTCATCCGAGATTAACTCTTTCACTTCTGGTTGTCCCTCTGGTAATTTCTGTAAGTTGAGTTTGTTTGATTCTTCCTTGGTCACGGAAACTCCTTTTGCATCCGAGATTAACTCATTCACTTCTGGTTGTTCTTCTGGTAATTTCTGTAAGTTGAGTTTGCTTGATTCTTCCTTGGTCACGGAAACTCCTTTTGCATCCGAGATTAACTCATTCACTTCTGGTTGTTCTTCTGGTAATTTCTGTAAGTTGAGTTTGTTTGATTCTTCCTTGGTCACGGAGACTCCTTGTGCATCTGAGATTAACTCTTTCACTTCTGGTTGTTCCTCTGGTAATTTCTGTAAGTTGAGTTTGTTTGATTCTTCCTTGGTCACGGAGACTCCTTGTGCATCCGAGATTAACTCTTTCACTTCTGGTTGTTCCTCTGGTAATTTCTGTAAGTTGAGTTTGTTTGATTCTTCCTTGGTCACGGAGACTCCTTTTGCATCCGAGATTAACTCATTCACTTCTGGTTGTTCTTCTGGTAATTTCTGTAAGTTGAGTTTGTTTGATTCTTCCTTGGTCACGGAGACTCCTTGTGCATCCGAGATTAATTCTTTCACTTCTGGTAGTTCTCCTGGTAATGTATGGAAGTTGAGTTTGTTTGATTCTTCCTTGGTCACGGAAACTCCTTTTGCATCCGAGATTAACTCATTCACTTCTGGTTGTTCCTCTGGTAATTTCTGTAAGTTGAGTTTGTTTGATTCTTCCTTGGTCACGGAGACTCCTTTTGCATCCGAGATTAACTCTTTCACTTCTGGTTGTTCCTCTGGTAATTTCTGTAAGTTGAGTTCGTTTGATTCTTCCTTGGTCACGGAAACTCCTTTTGCATCCGAGATTAACTCATTCACTTCTGGTTGTTCCTCTGGTAATTTCTGTAAGTTGAGTTTGTTTGATTCTTCCTTGGTCACGGAAACTCCTTTTGCATCCGAGATTAACTCATTCACTTCTGGTTGTTCTCCTGGTAATGTATGGAAGTTGAGTTTGTTTGATTCTTCCTTGGTCACGGAAACTCCTTTTGCATCCGAGATTAACTCATTCACTTCTGGTTGTTCCTCTGGTAATTTCTGTAAGTTGAGTTTGTTTGATTCTTCCTTGGTCACGGAGACTCCTTTTGCATCCGAGATTAACTCTTTCATTTCTGGTTGTTCCTCTGGTAATTTCTGTAAGTTGAGTTCGTTTGATTCTTCCTTGGTCACGAAAACTCCTTTTGCATCCGAGATTAACTCTTTCACTTCTGGTTGTCCCTCTGGTAATTTCTGTAAGTTGAGTTCGTTTGATTCTTCCTTGGTCACGGAAGCTCCTTTTGCATCCGAGATTAACTCATTCACTTCTGGTTGTTCCTCTGGTAATTTCTGTAAGTTGAGTTTGTTTGATTCTTCCTTGGTCACGGAGACTCCTTTTGCATCCGAGATTAACTCTTTCATTTCTGGTTGTTCCTCTGGTAATTTCTGTAAGTTGAGTTCGTTTGATTCTTCCTTGGTCACGAAAACTCCTTTTGCATCCGAGATTAACTCTTTAACTTCTGGTTGTCCCTCTGGTAATTTCTGTAAGTTGAGTTCGTTTGATTCTTCCTTGGTCACGGAAGCTCCTTTTGCATCCGAGATTAACTCATTCACTTCTGGTTGTTCCTCTGGTAATTTCTGTAAGTTGAGTTTGTTTGATCCTTCCTTGGTCACGGAAGCTCCTTTTGCATCCGAGATTAACTCATTCACTTCTGGTTGTCCTTCCGGTAATTTCTGTAAGTTGAGTTCGTTTGATTCTTCCTTGGTCACGGAAGCTCCTTTTGCATCCGAGATTAACTCATTCACTTCTGGTTGTCCCTCTGGTAATTTCTGTAAGTTGAGTTCGTTTGATTCTTCCTTGGTCACGGAAGCTCCTTTTGCATCCGAGATTAACTCATTCACTTCTGGTTGTTCCTCTGGTAATTTCTGTAAGTTGAGTTTGTTTGATCCTTCCTTGGTCACGGAAACTCCTTTTGCATCCGAGATTAACTCATTCACTTCTGGTTGTCCCTCTGGTAATTTATGTAAGTTGAGTTTGTTTGATCCTTCCTTGGTCACGGAGACTCCTTTTGCATCCGAGATTAACTCATTCACTTCTGGTTGTCCTTCCGGTAATTTCTGTAAGTTGAGTTTGTTTGATTCTTCCTTGGTCACGGAGACTCCTTTTGCATCCGAGATTAACTCATTCACTTCTGGTTGACCTTCTGGTAATTTCTGTAAGTTGAGTTTGTTTGATTCTTCCTTGGTCACGGAAGCTCCTTTTGCATCCGAGATTAACTCATTCACTTCTGGTTGTTCTTCTGATAATTTCTGTAAGTTGAGTTTGTTTGATTCTTCCTTGGTCACGGAAGCTCCTTTTGCATCCGAGATTAACTCATTCACTTCTGGTTGTTCTTCTGATAATTTCTGTAAGTTGAGTTTGTTTGATCCTTCCTTGGTCACGGAAGCTCCTTTTGCATCCGAGATTAACTCATTCACTTCTGGTTGTTCTTCTGATAATTTCTGTAAGTTGAGTTTGTTTGATCCTTCCTTGGTCACGGAAGCTCCTTTTGCATCCGAGATTAACTCATTCACTTCTGGTTGTCCTTCCGGTAATTTCTTTAAGTTGAGTTTGTTTGATTCTTCCTTGGTCACGGAGACTCCTTTTGCATCCGAGATTAACTCATTCACTTCTGGTTGACCTTCTGGTAATTTCTGTAAGTTGAGTTTGTTTGATTCTTCCTTGGTCACGAAAACTCCTTTTGCATCTGTGATTAACTCCTTTACTTCTGGTTGTTTTTCTGGTAATTTTTGTAAGTCAAGGTGGTTGGAATCTTGCTTGGAGGCGGAAGCTCCACTATCATCACTGAGAGGGCCAGAGTAGAGAGGGGGAGGCTTCCTGAGGATCCTACGTTTCCCAACTCCAAGATCACCATAAAATCTTTCTTCCTGTTCATTTTCGAACACTATGCTGTCAGTAACGCCATCATTTTGTGTTTTGGAGCCATCGACAATCAGTCCGACATTTTCTTCATAATCGCACAGTAAACCTAATCTCCGACTCGAAGAAGTACTGGTTTCTTGCTTCAAAGAAACTGAAAATACAGTTAAAGTATATCTTAGTAAATGGTGGTCCAAAAAGTGAAGCCTTGCATTAAGCCATATCTCAGTTATTATCCACATTAATGGGATAAGGTTCTCACGTGTTCAGAGGAAGATCTAATTTTCTGTAGACACCATAAAGGTCTCTTTGTCTGAAATCTTGAAGAAGTTCCATGACATCGACAGACATGCCTGATTAACCCTAATGTCTGCAACCTTTTTTAACACTGTACTAAGTCGCTCTTCGATTCTTATTACTTGTCAGATTTCATTATTCTGGGTATTGTTGTAACCCTTATCAGAGACATACTAGTATAAACATTTTATATGTCTCTACCCTTATTCAATAACCTCTTCGTTTAAAAAAAATGGGAAAGCATAGGTCAAAACGAGGTCAACTGACCTAGGGGTGTATATTTTGACATTTTGTGATAAATTGTCTATTTTCTTTCACAATGATTTTTTGTTGCCAAAAAATGCTTCGCTGCCTTTAAGATAATCTATTATATTTCGAATAAAACTAAAACCATGGTAAATGCTTTTCTAGGAACAGAAGTTACACACTTTTAAAGATAGTAGGTATCGCGAAATCCCATTGAAATCAATGTAACGTGAAATTGAATAGTCAGTATTTTCAAGTTCAGCTTATTTTTGTCTTTCGTAATCATATTTCAGGATGTACAACAAATGCCAATAAGTAATGCAGATGTATGAATGTTTCACTCGGTATTGTTCCAATATAATTTCGGTCCACGATGTTGCCTAGCAACCACCTAGCAACAGCACAAACAACGAAATAGTGAAATTGAAAAATTTTGGGTAGGGGAGAATAAAAAATATATATCTAAAATTTGGAAGAAGGTAACATCATAATTCTGGTACTACAGCGTGCATGAACATTTGGGAATATGCAAAAAGTCGAAGGTATTCATCAAGTAGTTTTTTAAATAATCCACTTTTCTCTCAAATCCGTGAAGAGAACGCGTTTCTCGACTACATGGCGATTGACTGTTTTTTACGTTTAAAAATTCATAACACAGTCAATTAGTGGCTCGATTTTCATTAAAAGAAGCACTTTGGAAAGATAATTCAATATGCTAAATTATCATTTATCGAACAGAGCAAGAATCATCTTTTTTATTTTCTAGAGCATTAGAAACAAAGTAACAATGAAAATTTTGTGAATTTCAATTTTATTGGCATCAAGTTCCAACTATCATAACTTTGCCTCTCTACCCCCAATCACCTTGGTTTTTACGCCAAAAAGTGTCTCATATCTGTGGCTCAAGTTAAAAAAAGATAACGGAGGCGCAAACAAGTGCAAAAAGTACTCTAGAAAAAAATCGAGAGGGGGTCGAATTGAACCCCCCCCCCCCAAGCCCCTGCAGACATTTATGTTTAATGGTTGATGTGCCCCATCCATGCCCCAGCTCGGGTTTAATGCCAATATTTATCTTCTGGGGCCGTGAATTCGTACGATCCCCAATCCAATCCGTATAAATTTTATCTTTTGGGATAAATCTTGGTTTACTGAATTCGATTATATATGTGGTGAATTCGGACGATCCGAGGATTATAAGGGGGAATCAGCAAGATTTATCCAATTTGCATTGGAATTCGGATAAATTTTCTTCAAAAAGTAATCCACCTCTCTCGATTGATATTGATCCTGAGATTAATCCGAGGATCGTACGAATTCACCGATTACATGCATGGCAATTGCGCACATGTCAACTCATCTTAATTCTACTGTATACCTGGCTGTATACATAGTGTGACACTGTAAACTATGAATGCTTTAAATAAAGTAAAAATATTGCCGTTATCACTGGTACTCACCTAGTTACCCTGACGATACGTCAGTGTAACATGGCGGAACTACATCCGGGACTCGGTTTCGGTAAGATAATTTTATTTCTCGATTTACACCTACTTATAAGTCACGTATTGGATAATAATTTGGCAAGAAGTTAATGAAGATAATCTAGTTTGAGAATGTGCTGGTGGTCTTAGGTTTGGTATTCTAACGTAGACGTAATTCACATATTTAGTTCCTCGCTTTTGTTACACTGACGATCGGTATGAATATTGCCAATATTGGTCGTTCGTCAGTGTAACAAAAGCGAGGGACTAAATATGTGAATTGCGTCTTCGTTAACATACCAGACCTAAAAACATCGATACATTCTCAACTAGACTATCTTCCTTAACTTTGAGCCAAATTATTATCCACAGCGTGACTTATAAGTAGGTGTAAATCGAGAAATTAAAATATCGTACCGAAACTTGGTCCCGGGAGTTGATCCGCCATGTTACACTGACGTATCGTCAGGGTAACAGGTGAGTACCAGTGGTTATATTTTGTAAGATTCCAGATATCATAGAACACTGCCAGGCTGTGAAACATCTCCTTTGGTAAACATTTTCATCAATTTGTCAATAATTTTATACTTTTAAAGTAGAAAATAAAACGAAAGGCCGCGAAGAAAAAAAGAAAACAAATCATTTTGAGGTTTACGTTACGTCTAAAGCTCAGCTTAAAGCACTTTTGTTCAAAGTACGAAAATGGGAACGTAAAGGTTTACGTAAGATCTTTCGGCCTTTTAATGATTTAATTTTCGGGATATTGTGCTAAAATCCACCATTGGCCGCCTTTATAAACTTGAAAAAACTCAAATCCTCATCATTTCATATCATTCATTGAGTGATCAAAACAACTGAAATCGCTTAGGATTCAACGGATACCAAGAGATCAAAGCTAATACAATATGTGGATCCGAGATTCATTGTCCGGGGATTCATGACGCTTTTTCCATTATTCTACGCCATGCTATTTGAATAGCAGAATTTGAATACTAGTAAATCAAATATACACGGTGTCAAATAAGTCCCGTCCTCCTGCTACAGCTAAAACCCTAATATGTGCTATCTAGTGTGATATACCATTGGAAAGATCATCCAAAGTTATGTTAGTTAACTCACCAACTCTCAAGTATTTTAGATGAAATTCACCTATATTTTCATGATGTCCTTTATAGTGAGCGCACCATCCTTAAGCAGCTTTTTTGCGTCGAAATGAGAAGGATATGACCTCAGAAATACGTCAAAAAGTTAATCTTTTTCCCATTCCACTTGTTACAAAAAAGGTGTTCACCACTTTCATTGCCCCTCTATTTTTTACACATCCAACCCAATCTAGAAATTGGTTTAATTCATTGCCAACTGCATGTGAAGTCATCTTTAGGTCCTTTAACTTTTCATATACCCAATTCTTAAAATCCTGCAAAATATGCCAAATTGCCATATTTCTAGGCCTATGGTCACCTCAATTGATAAAATGTAAAAGTTTGTGAGATTGATTGACAAGAGTCAGATATAAGCCAATGTAACTTTGAAAGACCTTTCCTATGATATATCACACTTGGTACCATATATCTTGATTTTGGCTTTAGAGGGGGGATTTATTTGACACCCTGTATAGAGCAATATTGAAAGCGATTATTGTAGAGACTTGGAAATCTCTAGGATGAAGAATTTTCTTCATCCTAGGAAAACTTAATTATAATTAAGCAAAAAAATGACAATTATGAACACAAATAAATTATTCGTGTTCATAATTGTCAATTTTTTTGAAATAATCATAAATAATATGAAGGACGTTATATTCTTTGTCTGGTGATGTTTCGCCAAAAGCGGGTTGATTATTTTTGTTTCTATTTTATTAGGCTACTTACTCCTGTCGTCGTCTATATCAGGAACGATCCCATTGAAAGTACCGGTTGAGTTAACAACTTTTTTTTTCTTAAAAACTTTTTTCATACGTTTCCATATGCTCTTTGGCAGGCACATATTTGCTCTTTTAGTATTTTGCTATCACCGTCGTCGAAAAATACTTTGAGAATGTTAGGAAAGTAAACATTCATTTGTTCTCGTTGCTATGACATTTTCTTGGAATTTACAGTCTGGCTCATTGTCTGACGTCAATTTCTGAGCAAGATGAGGTGACGTCATAGTCCGTTTCAATATTCATAGTATATGACGTCACATTTTTGTCATGGTAGTATTAAGCCTATCTGTTGTCGGTGGATTAAAATTCCTTTCACGATGGCCAATAAGAATAGAATAGAGCTTGCCCGTAGCCGGCTTTTACCAGGAGGGGGAGCTTTTTTCCAGGGGGGAGCTTTTTCACATTTCTGGCTAAAAATCATGCGAAAATTTCTCAGAATGGTGAAAAACTGCATGATTTTGAAAGAATTTCTGGCCAGGGGGGGGGGGGCTTCCGCTCCCCCAGCTCCCCTTTTATTCAAAACAGTTCTGACTTCATTTCAGAAAAATACTCCATTTTTTCTAGCAAAAAGTAAAAAAGACTGCAACAATTTGCAAAAATGAGGAAAAGTTCTTAAAGGGTGACGCATATCGTTTAGCAAATCGAACGCTCGTTTCTGGTGTTGCTCACCGTTTAGTATAAAAGGCCCGATCCCGGAATAATACTCAAGGGTTCACAGGTTCGAGGTCGTTGTGTCAACACCTCTAACTGTTATATAGCATAAGTATATTATAGATCGTCACACATTTATAATAGGGTGATTTTTATTTTGACAAATCGATTCCACATTTATGGGTGAAGTTTCAGGATCTTCTATTTGTGTATAATAAGGAAAAATTGGCATCTAAATTTCCCCCATAACGTAATAGCACACAGCTTGGCATATGAAATATCCTACAAATGAAACAAAGCAAGACAAACCGGTTTCTAATACAAGGATTTATATTGGCTGTTGTACATGTATTCTTTGAACGCAATCACTCTTTGGATAGCGTTTTCAAAATCATTATAAATGGATTACTTTATCTCAAAGACAATTTCAATAAACTGGATTTTACAGAACTCCCCTTATTTCTTAAAAATGGACTGATCCAGTTGATTCGCCTGGAGCCGCCATATTGTTTTTATACGGGATGCTAATCGGAACCCTTTAAAGAGTCGCAGCAGTGTTTTGTAGGTTACTTACCATGGTTACTGATTTCTAGTTTTTTTCAATGTTCCATATATTTTATCCAAATTTTACACATCTTTGGTACATATGGGCATCAAACCCTGAAAGTATGAAATTGTATGGTTTCAATTATCAAAAGTTATGAGCATTGCATGACGACGACGCACAAATTTATTTGGACCAGAGGGTATGATGGGTATTTATGCGCATTTTTTACCTTTTCAGGAAAAGTATGATCCTTGATCATGATTTGGGTAAGATCAATGCCAACTGTTCTAGGGAAAACACATTCTTGTTTGACAGACCCCGTCGAAAAATTTAGCAAAAATAACCACCAGGATATGACACAATAATTGTCAGCCCTCTGAAGTTCTAGATATTTAAAATGTGGGTGTTAATCCGTGGTTAATCCTTAAAACGTTAAAAATCCTTAAAAATGAGACAATTATTTTTGGGTTTCATTGAGTTTAGTGATGATTTTTATTAAGCACAAGATGAGCAAAATGCATGAAAAATTCCCGAAATTCATTTTATAATTCATACACAACTCGAGCTCCTTTACATTGAAAAGCACGAACCATATTATTTGAAAAAACACTACAATAACCACAGGTATGGAATGACGCGTTATTGTGAAGATTTGTCAATCCAGCAATTACTGTATTTTAAAGGCAGAATCTATAGGGGGGGGGGGGGGGACAAAATTACAAGCAAAATGTATAATTGACCTACCAGTCTATTCCTTACAATATCAAATACAGTATCTCCCAAAAGTTTCACAATATGTTATAAATTGGTTAAGTTATTAATTGATTCAAAGTGCAAAAATGAGTGAAAAATGTTTAAATTTTCCCAAATAATAAGAATGGTAACCATTCTTATAGAAAAATAATACATTATTGTAAAAATCTTTAATTTTCCTGGAATAAAGTATGCACTTTTGTGATTTTTAGAAAATAGACCTGAAAAGGAATGACATGAGCCAAAAATATTCTAAAATTGAAACAATTTTTTGTTTAGCCTGCTCGCTATATCTGATTCTCTCTTTAAATAAGCTTTAAATTATGCGTTGTCCAAAAAGGTCCAAAACCTCCGGTTTGAGGCTATCGAACGTTGATTCCATTGTTACAAAAATAGAGGCCGGGCATCGACGTTGATAAGTTGGAGGGCATATGCCCGGGAACATTTATAAAACGATCGTGTCGAATGAATACACCAAGTAAAGAGATCTCTTTTTATACTTTTTCAGAGATCTCTTTACTTGGTTTATTCGACTCGATCATTTTTATACATGTTCCCGGGCCTATGTTGGAGGGAAAATAGACAACAATTATTTTAATAGGTACGGAGGCAGCAGCGGCAACAGCCATCATTTTTGGTAAAGGTCCCTCACCTACTATTCCTCGATTTAAAGCCAACCATCCGTTTCTATTTCTGATTCGTCATAAAAAATCTGGGTCCATTTTGTTTTTGGGACGTATGATGGCACCCACAATTGCAAGTAAGTGTTGTTTTCTTATTTCATGTTGAAGGTACAAAAATTAGTGCTGTGTATTAGCCCCCCAGTCAAAAAATCTAAAGTGAACCCCCCTGGATTTTTTAAAAAGTGAACCCCCCCTTGACAAATCCTGGCTACGTTGCCTGCGTATTCAGTTGCCAAAGTACATGATGGATTCATGATGATATTTTATCATATTATTCTAGTAATTCAAAGGTCATTTGAAAGATGGTTCTGTGGTACATCTGGATTTATTTAGATAAGATACAAGGAGGATTGGCTCCCAGAATGCAACACCGATATTCTGCAAAACAATCACCTAGCGATAGCTTTGTTGGAGAGTATCGGGTCATTCTCCATGCAGTCGTACAAATTATACAGACACGAATAGCAAATGACGCATGCGTGGAGATTAAAGAATATCGAGTTGGAACCCTGGCTTCCAATCCTCCTTGGATAAGATACAAATAGATGAAGACAGACCACAGTGCCATCTTTCTATGGAACGATTACCTATCTAATGATTACCTCTGTTTTTATGTGAAGACAACACGAGTTGTTTGACGGAGACGCCTTGTCGGGTAAGAAATGGAAAGCTGTTAAAGAAATGCTGTGGATGTCCATACATGTTTGCTGATCCAAAAACAAGGGTAAATTAAAAACCATATGTTATAGAGGGCGGTAGAGATAATTTTGAAATAAAGAGGGCAGGCTAATCAAACTATGTTTATTTCTACCGCTGCTGCCATCTTTAAATCGTCCTAAAACATATGTGAAATATAGATGTGCAGTCATTGATGAATGTCAAGTGAAAACTTTCACTGTATTTAATTATTGTTTTACCCTGATAAATATTACCTTGTCAATTGTAACCAAAACGTTCCAAACTCTCGGACCGAACTCAGCAACGTTGAAATTGCAATACTATATCTAGAAGCTTACATCATTCATAACAATAAATTCCCCTCATCCGTTAGTGTAAAAAAACTCTATGCTATACGGCATCAGCCTTTTCGAACCGTTTTAAATTAATAATTTCGACCATTTGACATTCGGTTTCAGATATGAAGGAGCATAAAATGTATACTTCTATGAATAATTATGATTTGGCTTTATGATTTTTAGAAAAACGAACTTCCTTGGAATGTATTGAAGAAATACAAAGGAAAACATTGTCGGGAAACATGTATAAGCAAAAGATGTCTGAGAAAGTACAGAAGAAAGTACGAGACATAGAGACGTGGACCACAATAAAGAACATGTTCAATTCTCCTTTTCGCGATTCGCTCTTTGAAACAGAACGTTCGCTAATATGCACTGAAAAAGCACTCAAAAAGGACAAAATTTGATTGGTCAATCTTTTCCCACTATGCATTTCGCGTAGCTATTTGCGTGACACGAAAGTTCTAAATCAAACTAACTACTTAATTTTGTTTTTACACTCGCACGCTAAATAAAACAATGACACCATCGGAAGTATTCTTCTTTGTCATTGCTTTAATAGTCAGTATACCGAGTTTAATCAATAAAAGATTGTACAACGAACAACAAAATTCGGAAACGAGTACTATAGATTTGCTTTCGGACCACTGAACGGATTGACCTAGATAATAGCGACGCGTCTTCTTTGGTCTACTGTTCAGTTGTTTGTGGGTTTTCAACGTAACTCTATAATGTAATTTGAAGATGAATACTTTTATTCAGTTGTTGCATCGATGTCGCAGTTTGTAGTGCGGTAAAATTGGCATGAAAGTATTGAAAGTCGAATGGAATTGTTTTTTCCAATATGGCGACTAGTCTACTGATCACGCGACCTTCTCTTCCGGAATATTTTCTCACTTTTCAATCATCGTTTTCACCACGCTATGAATTAATACAATGAAAAAAATAGCTGTTATATTAAGATTAATGAGAGATCAATCGTTTCTAATAATTTTTTCTGTACTCTCCTACGGGAATATGAACGAATATATCGTTTGAAAAATAGGTGTGAAAATCCCCATGTTAAACCTATGAGGGAAAATAAGGAAGTATAAATTTGTTCCTCCGCGAACTGCATCATGGGAAATATTTTGCCCTTATAAGGAAAGATTTTCGCGTCTTCTCTTTTGAAGAGGGAACAACGATTTCGAGAATTATACCTGTCATATTATGAATAAAATTATATAGGCAAACTTAAAAAGTGAAGTCTAAAAAGTGAACATTACAACGAATGATATGAGCCCAAAATATTCTGGGTTTGAAACAATGTGTGTCAAGATGAAGCACCAAAGTACCCTGCGTGCAGACGAAGCTCTCTTTTAAGAAGTGAAGTCAAACGAATGCAAAGGGTAGCACCAAAGTAAATGCTAGATCTGATCTGATAATTGGGCACTATATTTTATAGATATTTGCTCCTGCTTTCAAGGGGCCTCCACAGTCCACATGTTTTCAGCCGGGCCTCTTCATGTTTTCAGCGGGATCTTTACTTTATTGCTCCTGAAGCGGGGCCTTGAGGAATATTTAAAACATAAAATATTATGAATCTTTAGGAAGTGAAACTCAGTACACCTTTATTTCATATCACTATCGTTATTTCACTCTTTTTATTTGCTCGCTATTCAGTGGGATCCTGCTCAGCGCCTGATTATAACATATCCGTGAAAGATGAATATCCACTTGAAATGTGTAAATAAAAATCAGTATTATAATATACACAGCACTCCAGGGGGTGCCTTTTTGGGCATTATTTGGCCTTTTAGCCCTTTTTTAGGACTCTATCAAACCACAATGGGCCTAATTTTCAAAGTTTGGGCCCAATTTTTTGCGGAATTTTTTTTCCTGACTCAAAATTTGCCCCTACTCCTGTTTACTTCTGGATCCGCCAGTGACACAGCGACAAGGAGTGAAAACGACAACCTTTACTTTCTGTAGAAAATTTTCACTGCATTGATAGATGTCACCCCAAGATTGAGTAACTATACGTCTGACGTCATCAATATATGTGTAGGTCAGCCATATTGATCCAAATTTTCTTGATGAATTAACTGCAATAAAAGTTTGAATTATTGGGTAAGTAAATGTTATTTTATTTCTTGATATATATCAACACTAGCTTGGTCAAACTATTGAAGATTTTGACTGAACGATGTTGAACTAAAGAGCCATTTAACCCTTTGAAATTGCCTGTTTATTTCAAATTATTATTTTTTTTCAAGTAAATTTTAAGCCAAGGCCGAGCTGCTTCTTTCTTTCAGATTCTAAAACATCTGAAGCAACTTTGATCAAATTCTGACCCACTCTTCCGTCATTCTTTGAAAGTAAATTTGACAAACATAGGTATGCTATGCATAGATACTAAGTTTCCGTAATTCTGAACCACTGATGGGATTTGTTAAAACTTCCACATTTTGCAGAATCCCTGATTTTCATGAAAATTCAATGGAGTTAACAGAATTATATGTTTTTATGAACTCCTACCATTGCAAGGTATTAGTAGAGTGTCTGTATATGGCCAGCAATTGATCATTATTGAGTACAAGTATGATTTTACCCTGAAATTCCATCCCCAGTCTATCATATATCAGTTTGCAAAAGCGATTGGTATTTTTTCCAAGAAATTAATTAATCTTTTGATTTCCAGTTTCGATTATCTGTATATTCCTAAAGAAAATTTATTAAATTGGCATTCCAAAAAATGCAGAATTATTTTTTCTGAAAAATTTTCCCTCATAGAATTTCCCCTTTTTCTTTTGAAAATTGAGAATTCAACCTTGAACTCCTTGGTAACCCAAACTTGTTATTTGCCCATGTTATCCTTTCATTGCTGCTTCTTAGATATTGTCCCGTTCAGCCTTGTGCGGCGTGCAGTATGGCTACTGATGGCTCGTCATTTACCACTTCACTACGAAGAACTGTATTAGAATTCTGCAAAGATAACTATCCGTTTAATGATTCTGTGACGATACAAGGAATCATATGCCTAACGCCAGAGGATAGCAATAAGGACACTACTGTTAGATTTCACAATCGACTAGTGAAGAACAATGAGAAAATTACATCATTCGAGGCAGAGTTTAATCTGAAGAAGTTAAGCGGTGTGTCTAATGAAGCGCAAACGAATGACTCTGTCAACAAGAATCAAGAGGCTTCAACGAATGGTAATGTCTGGTATAAAAATAATGATTCAATTAGAGTGTAAATCTAACATTGAATTAAAATGACTCTCTTGACAAGAATCAGAAATTATATTTATAGAAATGATGTTTCAGTCAGAAGGGAAATCAAACATTGAATTGTAAAAATGAACAGATGAAGACGAATGCAACATAAAAGATTAACTAATCTTATGCCATGGTCGCATTTGCCCCGATTTTTACTATGGCGCCCAGTCGATTGAGTATATTGTTCAAAATTGTATTCAACTTTGTATACCATGACATACCTGCCTGTTTTACTCCACATGTTTTCAGGTACTTTATAAATGCATTTGGGAAACCATATTACAGCATCTCTGGTACCATTCTTTACCTTATTGTACCTTGAGCTTGCATATTCAAGTGAAGCCCCTCATGGAGGTTATGATATTGAAATCAAACTAATGGGAACTTGGGTCTGGACTCTTGCTCTTTAAATGTGTATATGTTGTTTGGAGTATGATATAATCCACAAAAGAATACATCCAAACTTGCCAAAATTGATAGAAGATGTGATGATATTGAATTATTTTTAGTAATCAATTTGCATTCTCTGTAAAGTTGTTCATTTGAGAATTACCTCACTTCTGAAATTTCTTTTGCACCAAATTTAAATTTCTTGTGCACCAAGTTCAAATATCTTTTGCACCCAATTTTGAATTAAGACTGTCACGATACTGACCTGATGAAATTCGGCATTACATATTCTTGGTGTTGTTTCCAGAAGATGAGAGAAAAAATCATTGGCATATATTCATGAAAAAAAAATGAAATGATAATTTTTCACTCTGAAACATTGTACAATAATATATACATGAATATTTCAACTGACTTGCCAATTTTAGATGCTGGAGATGGGCAAATCCCATTGAGCTCCATCAAGGTGGAGGTTTCGGAGGCGGAGGAGGGTGAAATACCAGATGACGAAATACATATGGATCAGGATGAAGGTATTTGGGAAGAAATGACTGTAGAGAATAAGTTATTTTGGTTATTTCATATTTCTTCTTAGAAATCTATTGCACTGTATTTTGAAATTCTGAAATTTTGAGATTCTTCTTAGATTGTAAATTAATTTTCATTATAATTGTTTGTTTGTATTCCTTGAAATTGAATCATTATAAGGTATTATAAGGCACCAGTGAGATGAGTTGATTTCTTTCTTATAATAACATTTGGATATTTCTTCTATTTATAAATGATTTGGAGATTTTATAATTTCTTATGGAATTCAAAAGTTGAATTACTAAGTGCCATATGGTAGAAGTTCAATGCAGCTTGTCATTCTTAGTGTATTTTTTCAAAATTTTAATCCCCCTTCATAGGCCCAGATCTTGCTTTCAAAAGATAACCTACCATGGTAATCCATTATGTATAATATTTTTCCTTTTTTTAAATCTGAATGATAATTTCAGGTGCAGCTACAGTGACAACGACAGGCGATAATTCCAAGAATGATAACAGCGCCAATAACGCAGCTGATAATGACCACCAAGATGTTGCCGTTGACGACAATGATGCTGACCCAGGTTCTCCTAGTAAGTTACCATCCAGGCTTCAAAATAATCTGGATAGCTCCCCATCTTTACGAGCCCAGGTTCAACCTGTCCAAAATTCCCCAAATCGCACGATTTCAGAAATTGATTCTGAAATTTGCGCCTCCAGTTCTCCCAGATCAGGTATTAAATCTTATGAAAAAGTTTATGTTTGTGATGTATGTGAAAAAACATTTTTACAAAAGCAGTTGCTCCAGCTGCACAAACTCGGGCACCGCGACACCATTATTGACTCTATGCGTGAAAGTGCCCGATTGGTTGATTCCCTGTCAACAGATGGCACCGCCGAAAAGCCGTCTTGTAGTTTTGCTCAACGTGGGAATAATATAGATGATATTATTGAGAGCGTCATATCATCCTCCGCTGATTTAACTCATAAAGTGAAAGTTGGGAAAATTAAAGTTTCGACAAGGCCGAGTGAAAGGACATTAACGAATCATGGAACGAAAGCTAAACGAAGATGGATCAATAAACCACAAACGACAAAGCCGAGTCCTTCAAAGAAATGTAAAAGCAAGGATTTACTAAATGATAGTATGGATGAACTTTTAGCTGATAATGACCTTGCAGAAAATGCTGATTCTTTGAATCTTGTCGTGGTGAATAATCAAGAAGGTGCTAGCTCGACAGAAAATGTTAACGCCCTCGGTGTGATCGTGGATTATAACAAAGGAGTAATTAACAGGGCACCCGAGGAAATATCTCTTAACTCGACAACGTTTTTAATGGAGCAAAATATGGACTTTCTGGAACCTGGTACTCTGCTTGGAGATTCAGGTGAAGCCAATATGGATTGCAATCTCCAAGCAGGTGATACAGACTTTACATGTGGGGTATGCAAGAGTTCATTTATGGACTCCATAGGACTTAAAGCTCATCAAGCTGTTACTTGTAATACAAGTCATGGTACTCGTCTAAGATCACGCTTATCGAAAGAATTATCGCAAAATGGAGGAAATTCATCAGAAAATCTACCACAGGTTGGAAAGGAATTGTCGAGAAATAAATCGTCACAAGTAGGAGCTGGACCTAAGAAAAATACTCAAAGGATCAGTCGTAGGAAAGGCTTGCCGAAAAAGCGTACCAGAAAAATAAAACAAGAGAATGCAGCGCCATCAAGTCAGGAACCAGTCGACAAAGCAGCAGAACGAGTGAAACTGGAAATGCAAAAGAAGAGCCCGGTAAAATTAGAATATGATGTTGTAATGAGACCATATTCATGTTCTAAATGCGACCAATCGTATAAAACAAAAGCGCACATGCAGGCCCATGAGTTAACCCATAGTGATATTAAGCCATTTACATGTAGTACGTGTCATAAAGGATTTTATCGAAAGGATCATTTACGAATTCACACTCGAATACACACGGGTGAGAAGCCATTCAAATGCCATTATTGTCAAGTTTCTTTTTCGGATAGATCAAATTTAAAAGCGCATATTGGACGACATATAGGCCACAGGCCTTATAAGTGCGACTTGTGCCCGTCAAAGTTTTTCTTGCGTCAAGAACTTATCGACCATAGCAACATGCATGCTGGGAATAAGGAATATATTTGCGAGGCATGTAATAAACGTTTCACATATCGCTCAACATTAAATAAACATAAGCGTGACATTTGTTGCATCGAAAAATCACCTCTGGAAAATGAAATTGCATCATAAGGGAATTATTGGATCACTTTGGATTATTTTTGTTGGATCTTGCGACATATTATAATTTACAAATCAGGATTATAATTTACAAATCAGGATTATAATTTACAAATCAGGATTATAATTAAGAAATCAGGATTATTATTAAAAAATCAGGATTATAGGATTATTTACAAATGAATGTTGTGATTTGCAAAGAAGTGCAATTAAAAAATTACAAACAAGTATTTTTTCACTTGATACAGATGTGTTGAACCTTCTGATGAAATATTATAATTTGGCATCAAGTGAAATAGTAGATCATTACAAATTATTTCTTAGTTTTTTTCAAAAAATTATTAGTTCTACAATTTTACCATATGATTGTAGGCAATTGAGTCTACTACTTTATTTTTTACCTGTTTTGGCGATGTTGTCAGTAGACTCAGTAGCTTTGTAGAACTCAAAACATTTTGTTTCCATTATAATTTGCAAATAACTGTTCAGTTTAAATTCCTGTTTTTGGAAAAAGTTGATGATTTCATGAACAAAACAGTTTTGAAGCTTCCATATATTTCATTGAAGGTTCATTAGACATCTGTTATTAGGAAACCAAGTAATGCTTTACAAGTGATCTCATTCCATTGGAATTTACTCATTTTGTGTGAGGATCTTTTATATGGATTAAAACAATGGTACACGATTGAGTCACAGGACCTGCAATCATTGGACTGTATTTTTATGATCTTTGGACTGTATTTTACTCTGTGAATTATTACACTCGTACTCGCAGGACCATACCACAGTTGTAGGACTGTATCACATTCGTAGGAATGTATCACATTCATAGGACCGTATCATGCACATATGACCGCATCACACTCATACGATGGTATCACACTTGGACCATATTACAAGTGTAAGACAGTATCACACCCGTAGGATCGTATCATACTTGAACCGTATCACAAGTGTAGCACCGCATCATACTCATAGGATTGTATCACACTCATAAGACAGTATCACTCTTGTACGATCATATCAAATGTGTAGGACCAAATCATAAGTGTAGGACCATACCATTTATTTCCTATAAGACACAGATAAGAGCAGATGGTTTTATACGACACCACTTGAATCAATGAATATTTGTACAGTATAGTACATGTATCTGATTGTAGCCATTATTGTAAAATTGTTGCATTAAAAGTTTATAGTTATTTGGGTCATTAACCTGATTGTTGTACAGTAGTTTCATTAGCAACAAGAAAAGGCAATTTTCTAAGGAAATGTTTTAACCATATCTCCTGATTTGAGGAATTTCACAATTGCTCTCATGTTAAAATACCATTAAAATTTCCAGTAATTTTGCCTGTTGTTTTCAATCATTGTGTCTGTTGTAAGATGATTTTAATGAAACCTCCACTGTGTATTGTGAGCAATACAAAATTTTTTCATTTATGAAATCAACTTCAGACTGGTAGTTCGCAGACAAAGATTTGGGCGCACATCACAAAATCAAAATGGATTTGTTTCATTTGATTTTGTAATTCCTTAAGTATTGTCAGTATAGTGATTTTAATTATAGTAAAACCTGTATATGTAAACTAAACACTGAAATGAAAACTCATGAAACCTATTTGTGGTCAATTTTGACTCCCATGTTACTCTAAATACTCTTTAATATGACCACTTAGTTAGTAGCACAAGTAGTGCCTCAATACAGGTTTTACTATATATGTTGTACAATTCAAATATGATTCAATTTTATACAGAATTTTCAATGTTTTGTTTCAATGGGATAGGGCGTTGCTAGGCATGAGGCATCCGAGGCTATTGCCTCACCAAAATTTGGTACATTTGCCTCACCAATTTGATTTTGCCTCTCCAATTTTTGGGTTCTCGCTACGCCTCTGATTGAAGCTCCAAATTGAAATTGCTTGTGAATAGGGGAAGAATGATTTAGTTTTCTATAAGAGATCACATCAAAGCATCAATTTATGACAAACTACAAATTAATTTTGTCATAACTCCACCACGCTTTCTCCTGAGAGGTAGATCTATGCAAAAAAGTCAATTTTTAATTGAAAATAATTTGGTTTATCATTTATGCCCTCTCACTCTAAACAAGATTAATTTCATGGTTTGACAATTACTGATGTGTTGATGTGACCCCTTACCTAACAGTATTGAATTTAAAAGATCATACCATTGATAAATCACTGGGGGAAATGTCAAAAATAAATTTCAGAAAAAATTGAGAAACTTTTGATATAACCCCAAGTAATTAAAGTCTTTCAAATAAGCTTTATTCAATTATTCATTGGTCTCACATTTGATTGTACTGTATTTCACTTGCCTCTCATTACACACAAGGCGTAGCCAAGATAAACAAATAGGTGAGGCAAATGAAATATAGGCGAGGCAAATTAAACCTAAATAAGGTATATTATTACCTTTGGATTTCATTTCAACAGTTTTAATATATTTCTTCAGTTGCCTCACCTGCCTAATGACTGGCTACGCCCATTTACTCTTCCAATTTTGTCAGAAAATTAAATTTCTGTTTTGGAGAAAATTCACTCCGAGAAAAAATCAATGTATGGGTGATTGTATTGTAATTATCTGATTGTGTAGTATGTACATTTGTGACTGTTCACATCAGCGTAGAGGTTAAGTGACATTTGTTATAATTTTATCAGAGTCTAAATATTTGTAATGAGTAATTGTAATCTTCATGTAACTGAAGTTACCTGCCTACATGTAACTGAACTGACTTGATGACCTACCTATGTGTATCTGTAATGACCTTCCTACATGTAATTACAATGACCTAGCTACATGTAAATGTAGTGACCTTGGCTTACCTACAAGTGACTGTAATGACCTACCTATAACTGTAATAACCTTCCTACATGTAATTACAATGACCTAGCTACATGTAAATGTAGTGACCTTGGCTTACCTACAAGTGACTGTAATGACCTACCTATAACTGTAATAACCTTCCTTCATGTATATGTAATGAGTTCCAACATGTATCTGCTATGACCTTTCTACATGTAACTGTAATGACCTGCCTACATGTAAGTGTAATGACCTTCGAACCTGTAACTTTTTGACCTTCGAACATGTAACTGTAATGACATTCCACCATGTAACTGTTATGACCTTTCTACATGTAACTGTTATGAACTTTCTACATGTAACTGTTATAACCTTTGTACATGTAACTGTAATGGCCTACCTACATCTCTAATGACCTACCTATATGTAGCTGTAATGATATTGACCTACCTTCATGTAATTGTAATGAATTACCTAAATGTAACTGCAGTGATATGACTT